GCCTAATTGAAAACGAATACATACGGGAACTTACCAAAAAAAAAAATCATCTATGTATTCTCAAATGAATTGCCTAATTGAAAACGAATACATAAGGGAACTTCCCCCCCAAAAAAAAAACACGTATGTATTCCCAAATGAATTGACTAATTGAAAACGATTACATAAAAGGAACTTTCCAAAAAAAAAACACCTATGTATTCCCAAATGAATTGCCTAATTGAAAACGATTACATAAAGGGAACTTTCCAAAAAAACAAAAAATCACCTATGTATTCCCAAATGAATTGCCTAATTGAAAACGAATACATACAGTGAACTTTCTTGGAACTTTAGTATTCACAAATGAATTGCCTAATTGAAAACGAATATATACATAAAGTGAACTTTCTTGGAACTTTAGTATTCACAAATGAATTGCCTAATTGAAAACGAATGCATAAAGTGAACTTTCTTGGAACTTTAGTATTCACAAATGAACTGCCTAATTGAAAACGAATACATACGGGAACTTTCCCAAAAAAAAACCACCTATGTATTCCCAAATGAATTGCCTAATTGAAAACGAATACATAAGGGAACTTCCCCCCCCAAAAAAAAACACGTATGTATTCCCAAATGAATTGCCTAATTGAAAACGATTACATAAAAGGAACTTTCCAAAAAAAACACCAATGTATTCCCAAATGAATTGCCTAATTGAAAACGATTACATAAAGGGAACTTTCCAAAAACAAAAAAAATCACCAATGTATTCCCAAATGAATTGCCTAATTGAAAACGAATACATACAGTGAACTTTCTTGAAACTTTAGTATTCACAAGTGAATTGCCTAATTGAAAACGAATACATAAAGTGAACTTTCTTGGAACTTTAGTATTCACAAATGAATTGCCTAATTGAAAACGAATGCATAAAGTGAACTTTCTTGGAACTTTAGTATTCACAAATGAATTGCCTAATTGAAAACGAATACATACGGGAACTTTCCCAAAAAAAAAAATCACCTATGTATTCCAAATGAATTGCCTAATTGAAAACGAATACATAAGGGAACTTTCCCAAAAAAAAATCACCTATGCATTCCCAAATGAATTGCCTAATTGAAAACGAATACATAAGGGAACTTTCCCCCCCAAAAAAAACACGTATGTATTCCCAAATGAATTGCCTAATTGAAAACGATTACATAAAAGGAACTTTCCAAAAAAAAACACCAATGTATTCCCAAATGAATTGCCTATATAATTGAAAACGATTACATAAAGGGAACTTTCCAAAAACAAAAAAACCACCAATGTATTCCCAAATGAATTGCCTAATTGAAAACGAATACATACAGTGAACTTTCTTGAAACTTTAGTATTCACAAGTGAATTGCCTAATTGAAAACGAATACATAAAGTGAACTTTCTTGGAACTTTAGTATTCACAAATGAATTGCCTAATTGAAAACGAATGCATAAAGTGAACTTTCTTGGAACTTTAGTATTCACAAATGAATTGCCTAATTGAAAACGCATACGTAAAGTGAACTTTCTTGAAAGGGTTTAGGGGGAGAAACTTCCGTGTTACGGACTTTTAGAATGTCAGGGAAAGAGTTAGTCAAAGAAAGAGTTAGTCAGGGAAAGGTTAGTTAGGGAAAGAGTTCACCAGGGAAAGAGTTAGTCAAAGAAAGAGTTAGTCAGGGAAAGGTTAGTTAGGGAAAGAGTTCATCAGGGAAAGAGGTAGTCAAAGAAAAGAGTAGTGAGGGAAAGAGTTAGTTAGGGAAAGAGTTCATCAGGACAGAATTTGTCACGAAAGGAGTTAGTGAGGGAAAGAGTTAGTTAGGGACATAGTTAATTGTAACTTTTAGACTGCCTGGAAAGAGCTAGTCAAAGAAAGAGTTAGATTCTGCATTGCAAGTGGGTTGCTGGTGGAGGAGTGCGATGGGTTTTGAAGGAAGCCTCGACGAATGCGTTTTTGAGAGATAGCAGATGCACAAACCCTATGTTTTTCCATACCAAGTCCGTCCCCCGACCTCGTGATCTACCTCTGCGGTGGACGGTGCGAGACGGTCTCGTGTGTGGTCGGATCATGTTCGGATCATGTTCGGATCATGCTCGGATCGGTTCCGCATTGTAAATGGGGTTTCAACTGTTTTTCGTGCATGTGCGGTCGACAGAATTCCATTGCGATTTGCAACTGTACGATCGTTCCCGCATTGTAAATGGGATTGCAAGTGTTGCTGGTGGATGAGTTGTGATTTGCAACTGTAGGATCGTTCCCGCAATGTAAATGGGATTGCAAGTGTTGCTGGTGGATGAGTTGCCGATGGAATTCCACTCTGCTTTGCAACTGTAGGATCGTTCCCGCAATGTAAATGGGATTGCGGTTTGCAACTCAGTCTCTGCAGATCGCATTGTAATGGCTGCGTCAAGGTTGCTTCGTGCTGTGGCTGCATTCGTAATACTATTGTCTTTTGCAGCTGGACTTCGTAAATCGTATTGGAGTGGCTGCATGAAGGCTGCGACACTGATTTGTCAGTAGATTTTCTCCATTTTGGCGCTAGTGATTTTCTTTTTAAAAATCCTTTTAAAAAGTGTTTCAAAATCGTTTTTTTTTCGCTCTGGCGTCGAGATCCGGTTTTGGAGCTACAATTTCCGACGCCGTTGCGCGTAGTTCTATTGTGTTTTGCAACTCGGTCTCTGCAGATCGCATTGTAATGGCTGCGTCAAGGTTGCTTTGTGCTGTGGCTGCATTCGTAATACTATTGTCTTTTGCAGCTGGATCTCGGAAATCGTCTTGGAGTGGCTGCATGAAGGCTGCGATAGTGATTTGTCAGCAGATTTTCTCCATTTTGGCACTAATGATTTTCCTTGTAAAAATCCTTTTAAAAAGTGCTTCAAAATCGTCTTTTTTTGCTCTGGCGTCGAGATCCGGTTTTGGAGCTACAATTTCCGACGCTGTTGCGTGTAGTTCTATTGTGTTTTGCAACTCAGTCTCTGCAGATCGCATTGTAATGGCTGCGTCAAGGTTGCTTCGTGCTGTGGCTGCATTCGTAATACTATTGTCTTTTGCAGCTGGATCTCGGAAATCGTCTTGGAGTGGCTGCATGAAAGCTGCGACCTGGATTTGTTAGCAGATTTTCTCCATTTTGGCACTAGTGTTTTTTTGGTTGCACGTAGGTTTAGAGCAGTGTGAAGTGTGGGGCGTGAAGAGTGCAGTGTGAAGTGTGAAGTGTGCAGGAAGCAGTGGGAAGTGAGAAGTGAGAAGTGTGGAGTGTGAAGTGTGAAGTGTGGAGTGTGAAGTTTAAGTTTGGAGTGCGAAGAGCGCAGTGTGAAGTGTGAAGTGTGAAGTGTGAGGTTTGGAGTGTGAAGGAAGCAGTGAGAAGTGAGAAGTGTGGAGTGTGAAGTGTGAAGTGTGGAGTGTGAAGTTTGAAGTTTGGGTGCGAAGAGTGCAGTGTGCAGTGTGAGGTGTGGAGTGTCGAGGGAAGGACACGGTCGGGACAGGTTGTCTTTGAACTATAGGTCATTTATGTTGGGAAACTTCCGCCGCCGGCTTGCCCGGGTCTATGTTAAGGAAAGATTTGGAGTTTGGAGTTTACTGCTTCCAGCTCAAAGAGTCTTGAGGGCTTCAGAAAGGGTTTGAGAAAGGGTTCAACTAGGAAAGGAATTGAGAAACAAATTTAATTAACCACCAAAATTTTAGAACCCTGACATCCAAATACTTTATTTAGGGGTGTGCAAACATACATTATTATTTTGATGTCAGGGGACTTCAAGGCTACCCCCTTTGCGCGATTGTTTTTTGGCATTTTTTGAAAGGGTTTAGTAAGGAAATCGACCATTTGAGCCTTGTTGTTTGTTTGCACTCCAGAACTTTTCCAAAAAAAAACACCTATGTATTCCCAAATGAATTGCCTAATTGAAAACGAATACATAAGGGAACTTTCCCTCCAAAAAATAAAACCACCTATGCATTCCCAAATGAATTGCCTAATTGAAAACGAATACGTAAGGGAACTTTCCCTCCAAAAAAAAATAACCGATGTATTCCCAAATGAATTGCCTAATTGAAAACGAATACTAAAGGGAAAAACGGAAAAAAACGGGGGAAAAAAGTTGGCGTACTTTATTACGGGGGGGTTTTATTATTGTGAACCGGGAGTTGGCATACTTTATTGCGGGGGGGTTTATTAACGCCATGTGAACATTAGATAGATAGATAGATAGATTGATAGATAGATAGATACATAGACAGACAGATGAAAGAGAGAGAGAGAGAGAGAGATAGATAGATAGATAGATAGATAGATCGAAAGGTAGTTAGATGAGAGAGAGAGAGATAGACAGATAGACAGATAGACAGATAGATAGATAGACAGATAGACAGATAGACAGATAGACAGATAGATAGATAGACAGATAGATAGATAGACAGATAGACAGATAGACAGATAGACAGATAGACAGATAGACAGATAGACAGATAGACAGATAGACAGACAGACAGACAGATAGATAGATAGATAGATAGGTAGGTAGATAGTCAGAGAAAGAGAGAGAAAGAGAGGAGACCTCAATGACCTTTCGGGCCATCAGTGGCTTCGCTCTGCCATCCCTGATTCACAACAACCAAGCTCTCCTATAGGTTTCCTATTTTTGAAACTTCCGCCACCGCCTTGCGCGGTACTACTGGCATAAATTACTAGTACTATGGTATATTACATAATTATGAACTATGGTATACATGAACCATCCTCCCAATCACCATAAATAGGTGGTATGGTTACCATTCCCAAATGGGTAGTTTATGATTGTTTTAACCACATTATTGTTAATTATGTAATATTCCATACCCTCTGGTAAACCAACATAACTATGGAAAATCACCATGTTTAATGGGAAAACTCACTATTTCTATGGCCATTTTCAATAGCTATGGTAAATGGTGATTTTCCATAGTTATGTTAGTTTACCAGAGGGTACCATAGTTCATATCCCCATCCCGCCGGCACCGCATCTCTCGGCTCCGCCGTCTGCGCCAAGCGGTGCATGGCAGCGCTGTCCCGCTGCTTGGCAGCACGGCGCAGCCTGAGATTTTCTGGGAGTTCATGGTGACAAGGAATTTTTGTGGTGACTTGATGGGAATAGAAATGGAGATGAATGGTGATTTTATGGTAACCTTCTGGATATCCATCGACTGCAGTCAGAAGTTAAAAAGAAAATGCATCTGTGAACTGGAGACACATGAACCTTGCAGCCAGTGAACTGGTAGCAAGAGAACTTGCAGAACTGGTAGCAAGAGAACTTGCAGCCAGTGCCAGAACTGGTAGCAAGAGAACTTGCAGCCAGTGAACTGGTAGCAAGAGAACTTGCAGCCAGCGAACTGGTAGCAAGAGAACTTGCAGCCAGTGAACTGGTAGCAAGAGAACTTGCAGCCAGTGAACTGGTAGCAAGAGAACTTGCAGCCAGTGAACTGGTAGCAAGAGAACTTGCAGCCAGTGAACTGGTAGCAAGAGAACTTGCAGCCAGTGAACTGGTAGCAAGAGAACTTGCAGCCAGTGAACTGGTAGCAAGAGAACTTGCAGCCAGTGAACTGGTAGCAAGAGAACTTGCAGCCAGCGAACTGGTAGCAAGAGAACTTGCAGAACTGGTAGCAAGTGCAGCCAGCGAACTGGTAGCAAGAGAACTTGCAGCCAGTGAACTGGTAGCAAGTAGAACTGGTAGCAAGAGAACTTGCAGCCAGTGAACTGGTAGCAAGAGAACTTGCAGAACTTGCAGCAGAACTGGTAGCAAGAGAACTTGCAGCCAGCGAACTGGTAGCAAGAGAACTTGCAGCCAGTGAACTGGTGAACTGGTAGCAAGAGAACTTGCAGCCAGTGAACTGGTAGCAAGAGAACTTGCAGCCAGTGAACTGGTAGCAAGAGAACTTGCAGCCAGTGAACTGGTAGCAAGAGAACTTGCAGCCAGTGAACTGGTAGCAAGAGAACTTGCAGCCAGTGAACTGGTAGCAAGAGAACTTGCAGCCAGCGAACTGGTAGCAAGAGAACTTGCAGCCAGCGAACTGGTAGCGAGAGAACTTGCAGCCATTGAACTGGTAGCAAGAGAACTTGCAGCCAGTGAACTGGTAGCAAGAGAACTTGCAGCCAGTGAACTGGTAGCGAGAGAACTTGCAGCCAGCAAACTGGTAGCAAGAGAACTTGCAGCCAGCTAACTGGTAGCAAGAGAACTTGCAGCCAGTGAACTGGTAACAAGAGAACTTGCAGCCAGTGAACTGGTAGCAAGAGAACTTGCAGCCAGGGAACTGGTAGCAAGAGAACTTGCAGCCAGTGAACTGGTAGCAAGAGAACTTGCAGCCAGTGAACTGGTAGCAAGAGAACTTGCAGCCAGCGAACTGGTAGCAAGAGAACTTGCAGCCAGTGAACTGGTAGCAAGGGAACTTGCAGCCAGTGAGCTGGTAGCAAGAGAACTTGCAGCCAGTGAACTGGTAGCAAGAGAACTTGCAGCCAGTGAACTGGTAGCAAGAGAACTTGCAGCAAGAGAACTTGCAGCCAGTGAACTGGTAGCAAGAGAACTTGCAGCCAGTGAACTGGTAGCAAGAGAACTTGCAGCCAGCGAACTGGTAGCAAGAGAACTTGCAGCCAGTGAACTGGTAGCAAGAGAACTTGCAGCCAGTGAACTGGTAGCAAGAGAACTTGCAGCCGGTGAGCTGGCAGCAACAGAACTTACAGCCAGTGAACTGGTAGCAAGTTCCTTTGCTGCAAACAAACTGGCACCAAGTCACATTCAGAAAATTTCATGGGTGCGGGACAGTTTTGAGTTGTCATTCTTGGATTCAACATGATTCAACATTCATGCCTGCCTTCAACTTTTTTCCTGCCCTCAGCACGCATGCCAAGGGTGATTCATAGGGATTTTATGGTGATTGATGGTGTTTTTATGGTGATTGTCATGGGATTGAATGGTGATTTCATGGCATTCGGTGGTAGCATTGCTATGGAACATGGATTTACCTTTTAGAAATGGTGATGTTCCATAGCTAATTATTTTAAAAATCCAGAAGGTAATATGTAGAAACTGTATTGCTAGAAAATATCGCTAAACAATAATTATTGATATTAAAAAAACTATCGAACAAGGGTTGCACTTTGATGGACTGTTGCAGCAGCGCTAATCAATTGGGGTGATTTATGGCAATATTCACATTAACACCCATTAATCCCATTATATCCGCAATATATCCGCAGTATATCCCCATATGTCTTGGTGAAATTCGTTTTACATCACCATTTTTGCTGCTTCAAATCCCACCTTCGCCCCCTTCCAAGGTGACCCAAGGCGCCAGAAGTCGTAGCCGCTCTCATTGCGCGGCCTCTTGCGCCACTCGTGCAGCGCCATGTCCCGCTGGGCCTCGCTGTAGCCTCCCTGGGCGCTAAGCTGCAACCAATGGACCGCAGCGGCTGGGTCCACCTGCGGAAAAGAACGCAAGGGAATATCTATGGCGATAATGGTGGATTAATAGTGGATTAATGGTGATTAATAGTGATTAATAGTGATTAATAGTGGGTTAATGGTGGATTAATGGCGATTAATGGTGGTTATTAATGGCTAATAGTGAATTAATGGTGATTACCCTCTGGTAAACATACAAATAGCTATGGAAAATTGCCATAGAAATAGTGAGTTTTCTCATGAAAAAAATGGTGATTTTCCATAGCTATGTGGCTGTTTACCAGAGGGTATGTCAAAAATGCCTTAAATGGAAGATATTACTATCGCATGTCATAGATGATCATAGTTGATATGTGGAATATAAATATGTGATATATTGTGGTATAGTTTCCAGAAAACATATCAACTATGATCAACTATGACTGGGGACATCATCCCATTACGAGGGATATATCATGACATATCCATAAAAACCCAGCAATCCCAACCGGGGATGGTTTAACAAGTATCACATGCATAATTCCGATACTTATCCCATCATTAAATTACCAGATTATGCCACAATTACGCCGAAATCATTCCATAACTATCTCTCCGACGATTATCCAATGATTATCCCATATTTCCCTGTTGATTAATGTGGGTCAAACAATAAACAACAATGTTCCAAATCACCATAAATAGATATATAATAGGTAGTATAAACCATTCCCACATGGGTGGTTTATGGCATTGTTTTACCCACATGGTTGGGTTTGCAGCATTACACATCTCAATGTTCATAGCCAAGCGACTGGAAGACCGTGTCCCTGCTGGTACATCGTGGACAGCACGTAGGCCTTGGATTCGTTGCAGCCGAGGATGAAGTCCATGGTCACTGACAATGATAATCAATGATAGCAACAGCATGGGAAAAGGATGATGATAATTAATGATAATCCCTAGCACTTGATAATGATAATCAATGGGGAAACTATCAGTATCCTGATGGTGATTAACCCATCACATAACATCACTGATCCAGCCTTCCAACTCACATGGCTGTGTGAAGAAAAGACATGCCAAGGCTTCCCGAAAATCAATGGGGAAATATGGAAAAATGGAATACTTATGGGATATTCATGGGATACTTAGGGGGATACCCAGGGACAATTATATCGGATGATAATTAATAGGATAATTAAGGATGACCAGAATGATGAACAGGATCAGAATGATCAACATGTTTGTTAAAATATGCACATGATCATCATCATAACCGTCATGTCCTGATGTGGTGAAGTAACAGGATGTCCGCACAAATGGTGGGTTGTGTACTTGTATGCCTCAGTTTCGTGAAAAACCCCACTAGCTTAAGGGATACAACTAGGAAGTTCACGGAATGGGTTGGTTGAGTCGGGAAAATCTGAAGCAGAAACCCATGGTTATCACCCAAAATACAGGTTCAACATGCTTCAATCCTAGGAATGTGCTTTTCCAACGCTCGGGTTTCATGCTGCATCCCACTGGGTAGGTTGTAATTCACCTGAAATTCTGGGTGATGTTGAAACATTCTCTATATATTTCGGATATGTTGATGAATTATTCTCTAATTTTGTTGAACTATTCTATTCTGGGTTATATCTTGGGATATTCCCATCCCCATGGCATCCCAAGAAACCGCTTCCAAGTCGTCCTGCTCCGCTGCCCGGCGCATCCACTTCGCTGCCTTCGACAAATGGGGCGCCGGGAAACCAGCGCCGTTGGCATAGGCGAAGGCTAAGCCCTTCCTGCGGGAACAGGGCACTGGAGACCCTATGAGTTGACAAATGTAGAATGGTGAAAGACATCGTAATAACATAAAATAACTGGATATCTATCTATCTATCTATCTATCTTATCTATCTTATCTATCTATCTATCTAATCTATCTATCTATCTATCTATCTATCTGTCCATCTATATATACATACATATATATATATATATATAAATTATAGTTGAACCACTATGTTGGAACATATCACAAGAAATTTTATGGGTTGAAGTTGAAGATCCAGGTACATGGCCTAAACATACAGGGAACATTGATGAACACTATAGTATCTGCTGCTTCATGATATAGATGGATAGATAGTTAATGGGGGCTATAAACCTGACCGGGGTGGCACCCACCTGGTAAATCCAATCGCATAAACTGTCCCACTAACCATAAAAGGGGGTCATTTGAAATCATCCCAGTTCTAGGGTATACCCAATTTCATAAACCTAAACGGGATGGTTTAAGTTATTGGTTTTACCACACCATCATCCACCCTCTTACTGTCCCACGCAATCCATAATTATTCAATTTATATCCTATGTTTATGATTGGTTTTACCACATCAAGGGCAGCTCCCCGCATCACCAGGGCACTGTGCCGTGGCGCTTCCGGATTTCGCCGCCAAGCGCAGCCAGTGCAGCGACTGGTCGACGTGACCATCACGGAGCAACAAGCTCAGGTGGTTTTGGGCGTCGCAATGTCCCATCAAAGCAGCCTTCTCATACCACGTCCTTGGCATGTCCAATGTCCAAGGACGAAGATGTTTCTGAAATCGCAAAGGTGCACATCGGAGAAACCCATGGTTTCCGGTGAAGATTTTACATGAAACCAATCCATTGGAACATAGAGATGGGCTAAACAAAAATATACAAAAACGGATGGAGTACTGAACAATAACCAGGATTTGTCCATATTATTGAGTCATTTTGAGGAGGATACCGGGATACATATGCATATAAATATATCATACCGTCTTGCATGTGTTTCTTCCAATATCCATATGATCGCATCTATTTACATACCCCTTAACATTATTCACTCCCTGAATATTGCAATAGTGTCTAAACATCATCATACATAATATGTTAGTATGTTTCAAGAGATGTATCAGATAATTAATCTGGGCAAATTATAATGGTTCAGTAACCTGAATCTTGCGAACATTTGGTGAGGATTCCCCTTACTACCCTTAGACCATCATTCCAGTGAGGTCGCAGTGAGGTCGGTAATTTACCCTGATCATTATTCATGATATCCCTATAATATTCCCAATGCCACAAAATGTTTTTTGAGGTTTGATGCTTGAATCACCATCAAGTAGCCATTAAATCACCATCAAATCAACATTCAATCACCATTCAATCACCATTAAATCACCATCAAATCACCGTTAACCACAAATACTTCATATGTTTCCCAAATATTTCCCCATGTATTCCGTCGAATCTTTCCGCCCTTCCACGGAGTTTTTTTCCGACACTTCCAGGTGTCAAGGCTTTCTGCAGATCCACCTCCCCAGCTGCTCCCTGCAGATACTGCGTAGCCACGTTGAACATGGCATCTGGGTCCCCATTGGCCTTGGAGATCATGAGATTTGTGGGGTTAACCAAGGTTAAAACAGATAGATTTCATGACTTCTTAGATCCTATAGGATGCAATTTTCTGCATTTTTCGTTAATGATGAAAATAAATTGTGTCTAATGATGTGCAGATATGTTTTGTTGTAAGGGGTGGGACAATGTATTTTATATGTGTTTTTCGATATGAATGGAACATGAATGACTTGTTTTTTTAACGCTTTCGGATATTTGTTTGCTATGGTTCTGGAAATGGTTTTTGATGGGTTTGGACATGTTTTTGTTTTCGATATGGTTGTGGATAATTATGGTTTATGGATATGGTTTTGATATCGTTTTTGGGTATAATTTTGGGCATTTTTGAAATTGATTTCCCTTTGCCAGAAGCCTTTCCAATCCTAGAATTTACTGTTTTATGAAGGTACTCAGAATTTGTTTTTTTTACCAAAACAATGCAAGAACTATTGTTTACAATGTTTTGATACGATTTTGGTAGGGTTTCCCTGTCCCAGAAGCCTTTCCAGCCATTAAACCATGAACAATTATATACTGTAGAAACAAAAAGAAAACAAAACGGTGATATAATCAACCCTTCAGGCCGTAACTTATATCTTAAACTTCTAAGCGGTGCTTGGTTCAAATTCCTTTTTGTACGGACGGACCGACAAGATCGGCTGCTCACTCCGGACCGGTCTGTCGACACCGCAGCTGAGGCTGAAGCTATAAGGCAGGGGATGCCACCTCGGTTCCCGAGAGCATATTCAGTGGTGCGCTGCTTCCGGCCGAGTTCTTTAGGGACGCCTGCGCGGGCATGCTGCAAATGGCATGTTTCTCGCCAAGCAGATTTTCGCATTTTCAAAATCTTAAAATTAATTCCCCTTTTAACTTAATTTCCAGGTCATTGTAACATTCTTTCCGCGCATGACAAACCACTGACAGGCTTGACTTAGAAAAACCTGGAAATACAAGAAATCCACAGCAATCTCCTTTCCGCAGTGCAAGCAATTCCGGTGGCACTGGTGTCAACTCGTTTTTCTCAATAAACTCTTTGAACTGCTGTGCAAGCTGACTCACTCCCTGATTCCAATCAGCTCCAAGAATGTCACCTTTAACTTCCGGGGTGCGCGGCTCAGGCATGTCTTCTTGAGAGGTTGCCATACGTACGGTTTGTGCTGTCCAAACACCAGGGCAAGCGCTTGGAAGTGCAACTCACAGAGTTCATTGTGGATGAAAAATGAAACCCGAGGGGTCGTCGCACTATCAACCCGAAGCAGCCCAACCAACTTCGGCGGGCAACGAGAGGGCTGAGAAACATGCCTCAGGGGGCAACGCGCAGCCAAAGAAAAAGAACAAGAAGCAAAAGGTTGGGCAAGAGGAAACAAAGCCCAAAAAGAAACCGAAGAAGACGAAGAAGGATGAGGAAGAAGAAGCCGGAGAAGAAAATGAATGAGGAAGAAGCCGGAGAAAACAAATCTCCGCTGCCTGGTAGGCTACTCCGAGCCTTGGTGAGATCAGGGCGCAGCTGTGTGTAGCCAGTTTCAATCAAAACGCTCATATAACAAAAAATCAATCGACACTACCGTAGATGGACGAATTATTCAAACCCTTATACATAGAGCAACCCCCCTCACCCCAAATATCAATGTTATTTTCTTGTTTGGTTCGTTCCTTCGAATGGACGAAATAAATCAAACCCGCAGAGCAGGAACAGCGCTACGAAACCATAACATTGAAATTCGGGGGAGGTAGGGGGTGGCCTATAACTCATGGATAGGGGTTTGAATAATTTGTCCATCTACTGTCTTAAGCGTTTTTTTCCTCATTTTTTGCATTTTTTCGCATACGATCCCAAAAACTCAGACATTGCTTTAACAAGTGTCGTCACATGTCACCACTTGTCTGAAAAAGCACGCCCAGTGACAACACCATAAAGGTGGATGATAAGGCACACCTGCTTGTTCTTGTTCTTGTTCTTGTCGTTGTCGTCGTCGTCGTTGTTGTTGTTGTTTTTATTCTTCTTCTTCTTCTTCTTGTTGTTTTGGTTGTTGTTTTGGTTGTTGTTGTTGTTGTTGTTGTTGTCGTTGTCGTTGTTGTTGTTGTTGGTTTTGGTTGTTTTGGTTGTTGTTGTTGTTGTTGTTGTTGTTGTTGTTGTTGTTGTTGTCGTTGTCGTTGTCGTTGTTGTTGTCGTTGTTGTTCTTCTTGTTGTTGTTGTTGTTGTTGTTGTTGATCCCTTTCCTGGGCGTGATTGAAAATGCTGTGCTTTTCCAGTTCACTTCCCGGGCGTGATTGAAAATGCTGTGCTTTTCCAGTTCACTTCCCGGGCGCGATTGAAAATGCCGTGTTTTTCCAGTTCCCTTTCCCGGGTGTGATCGAAAATGCCGTGTTTTTCCACTTCCCTTTCCTGGGCGTGATTGAAAATGCCATGTTTTTCCAGTTCACTTCCCGGGCGCGATTGAAAATGCTGTGTTTTTCCAGTTCCCTTTCCCGGGTGTGATCGAAAATGTTGTGTTTTTCCAATTCCTTTTCTTCAGCGTGTACGAAGTGCTGTGTTTTTCCAGTTCCCTTTCTCTTTCCCAGTTCCCTTTCTCTTTCCCAGTTCCCTTCCCAGTTCCCTTCGCGGATTCCCTATGTTTTTCCAAGGAAAGTGCGTTGCAGACTTTTTCTTTCAAAAAAGAAAACATTTTTGTTTTTTATTAAAAAAAATCCGCAACGCACTTTCCTTGGAAAAACATAGGGAATCCGCGAAGGGAACTGGGAAGGGAACTGGAAGGGAACTGGAAGGGAACTGGGAAAGAGAAAGGGAACTGGAAAAACACAGCACTTCGTACACGCTGAAGAAAAGGAATTGGAAAAACACAACATCTTCGATCACACCCGGGAAAGGGAACTGGAAAAACACGGCATTTTCAATCACACCCAGGAAAGGGAACTGGAAAAACACGGCATTTTCAATCACGCCCAGGAAAGGGGGGAACAACAACAACAAGAAGAAGAACAACAACAACAAGAAGAAGAAGAACAACAACAACAACAACAAGAACAAGAACAAAAACAAGTAGGTAGGACAAAAACAGATGTGAAACAGAAAAACGCACTTGCGCAATATCTTTCAGTACATCATCATTAAAATCATCCAAAAGTCAGCTTCGTTAAAATCTTCATCATGAGCCTTAGTTGGCCAATTCAAAATGTTCAATGCACGTCTGTCACCTAATTCATATCTTCGTACAATATGTGCTAATGTTGAACAAAAAGTGAAGCTTACCATTCGCTATAGACTCCTGCTGACCACCACTCCCCGTACCGTAGATGGACGAATTATTCAAACCCTTATACATAGAGCAACCCCCCTCACCCCAAATATCAATGTTATTTTCTTGTTTGGTTCGTTCCTTCGAATGGACGAAATAAATCAAACCCCCAGAGCAGGAACAGCGCTACGAAACCATAACATTGAAATTCGGGGGAGGTAGGGGGTGGCCTATAACTCATGGATAGGGGTTTGAATAATTTGTCCATCTACTGTAGTTCTCTTTCGGCATTTAGCCCCTCTGACAAGCCTCACAGAGGGGCGTTGGCATCTTAGCTTTTGAGACTTTGCTGCAAAGCATACGGTGGCAACAGAACACATATATTTTGGTTCACCGACGACTTTTCAATAGCTTTGATCGTCGTTGTTTCCCTCAAAAGAATGCACCTTTGCTTTCAGAGCTTGCGCGATGACACCACTGCGGTTGTGAAAAGCAAGCAAGCGCAAAAAAAAAACAAGTGGAGCCGGAGGAAGACATGCAGGTTAGACTAGTGTTTTTCACTTCGGGGTTGAAAATGATTTCCATTGGTCGACCATCATAATTTTTCTAAACGACAATCTTTCCAATTTAGGGGCGACCATCAAATTCATACCCCAGTAACTTCCAAACGCACCATGACCATGATCCACATTCGAAGATGCCAATTTCAGCCAATTTCATTCTTCAACCACAAGGGGGCAAGCAAGCAACACTTAAACATCACCAAGTTATAGCCATTCAATGGGTAATTCCTGGGGGCAACCATTGGCCTTAGGTGTTGAATTCCTGCTCACTGTTAAAATTGATCAACCACCAGCAAGTGCATAACCATGGTTTCTGGAGGGTCCTTAAGGACTGACTGGAGGAAGGGACTACTTGGGTGGATCCCCAAATTCATATGCTTAGACATGAAGTGCGTATGGGTCAAAAAGGGGCGCCCTAATAATTGGAAGGTTAATCTCCTAAAGTGTGTTGCAGCCATGTTTATATGGAGGTTTCCAAAGTCATAGGGCTACCCCTAGTTATCATCCATTTTTGTTTCGGGTTCTCCATTATTTTCCATTCATATTGACATGTATTACTGTAAATTCAAATCATGCAATGCAAGGCGCCATCATGCGCCATCTAAGCATAGCCAACCGCAGGGCAAAAGCACGCAATGCAAGGCGCCGTGTACTCATCTAGGCATGGCGGACCGCTGGGCAAAAGCACGCAATGCAAGGCGCATCGAGGCGTCATGTAATCATCTAAGATCATCTAAGCATAGCCAACCGCAGGGCAAAAGCACGCAATGCAAGGCGCCGTGTACTCATCTAGGCATAGCGGACCGCTGGGCAAAAGCACGCAATGCAAGGCGCATCGAGGCGTCATGTAATCATCTAAGATCATCTAAGCATAGCGGACCGCAGGGCAAAAGCACGCAATGCAAGGCGCCTTGTTATCATCTAAGCATGTAGCGGCGCGTGTTTGACAAATATGAGTCACTGGAAAGATGCCCTCATCCTTCATCCTTCCTGTTCCAGATTGCAAGACCTTGCAAGTTGCTGCCGTTGCGGGTGCTGTTGGCGTGCTTGGCGGGTGCTGTTTGGTTTGCACACCTTGCCACCCTTATGCAGCCCATGCGGTTCCCCCAATTATAGCCATTTACTCTTGTCAGACAATGCGAATGCCCCTTTTAAGTCGGGAACTAATCCTCTCCCCCTAATATTAAACGGGCCCACCCCCCCAAATAACAAACACTTCAGGTAGTTTTTGTTATTAGGATGGTATTTATTATTAGGGAACCAAAGCGGACATTAATAATAATAAAATTAAACCATTAACAAAAAGAACTATTTTTTTGGTTTCAAAATCAATAAAATTTCCTTTCATAACGCAATGAAAATATTGCCAAGCATTGGATTTCGAAACTTCCCCCCTAATATGAAATTTAAAACCTTAATAATCCTGAATATACAAAACTAAAATTTTCAGACGGACCCGAATAAAAAACACTTGGGGATGACTAGTTTTTATTATTAGGGGGTGAAACCTACAAATAGCAGCTTTATTTTTAATTTGTTTTCTAAAGGGGATCAATTAAAAGTCAAATTGGCCAACCTGAAATTTTCCAAAATTGGAGGTGGACCCTAGTTTTTATTATTCGGGGGGGTTTAGTAATAGGGGGAAGGGATTAGTGCCAAAAAAATGACTTCGCAGCTGAATTTATTGGCCGCCTTGCCCCCCCACCGGGTCTCATCCTGTCTCGTCGACCACTAAAGATTTAGAGCTTTAGTGCAACAATGTGCAACACATTGTACCCCGAAGGTTCTTGATTGAATGAGAAGGGGGATGGATGAAAGGAAATTCTACCGTCAGTGGGGACTTCAGCATTCATGTAACGGGGTACCCCTAGTATATAATTGTTTTACAGTATATAACAAAACCACTACAAACACATTTCCAACACCGGTCAAGAAAGAAACACAACATAATGCAAAACCATATCCAAAACAATAAGGAAATATCATAAGTATTCATAACTTATTTTCCAGTCGTACCCACACCCATATTGAAACTCAAATCCACAATTTGAACCCATAAAAAACGAAATCACAAATGCACATGCGTATATATATATATATATGATAAATATGGAAATCAGATCAAAATTGTAAAAGACAAAATTATAAAGAAAAATAAGTTTGCAAACCCTTCATCCTAGAGACTCAGGAACTCTGAAAAATAGATGGGATGTGAACGGATATGATGGGATAAGCCGGATACAGCATACCATCCATCAATTTCTGGGATGATTTCATAATCGCATGCAGGATGCATTCATGACTATGCTCCTCATCCAGAGTTGGTCACCAATCTGATCCCACGGCTTACTGTCAAAACAGGCCCCATGGCTTGTTTGATGAAGCCGGAGGCCAAAAAAAACAATATTCCATTATATAATTAGTATGCAATTATATAATATTCCGTAGTTAATATCCCACTACTAACTAGTTTTCCATGGCTATACCACTACTACTAACGAATTTTCCATGAATCTCCCATGAAGAAATCACCCCAGCTATCTTCATTAACTAAAGCCAGGGCACAGCCGCCTCATCATACCACGGTGTGGTACCTTCGGCCACCGCCTTCTCTGAGCTCTTGATCCAAAGCACCAAGCTGTGTCGTGCGCCCTGCCAGACTCGAACCCCATGCCTGGTTCCAGTGGGGAGTCACTTGGGGGCGTTCCTACAATTGTACCCCAAGTCACCATGGCTACTCAACTGGTCTAACTCGGGATGATTCTAGATACCGCCATTCCATGGAAATCTCCAGTCGATGATACCTGATTTTCCGAGCAAATTCCGATCCTTTAGTCTTGAGAGTAGAAAAAAATGATGAAACATGCATAGTAAATACATTGAAGACACTGTTGCGAATATGTTTGAAAAGTGTTTGGTTATACCATGTTATACCTTGCTGTTGATACGTCTTTTCACTATGAACTTTGAACCTCATGGGTTTCTGTGTGTCCAACCCACATTTGTTCCCTACAGAGTTGCCCCAATGGCCATGGCCACATGGCGACATTGGCCCGAGGTTCTGCAAATCAAAGGAATGGACGAAGACATCTCCAGGGTCCAAGTGTACAAAGCGCCGCGAACGCACGTGTGGTGTGGGCTGCACATAGAGTCCTCCTTGATATTCGTCCTTGACCCGACGACCCGAATGACGACTGGAGAATGGTGATAAAAGGCCAAGGATGAGAAAGGTGGAATGAACGCCTGGAACCCCTCAGCACCAGTGAACCTGTCAAGGTATGTCAAGATCTTATCATCCCAAGTTAAGCCCTCAACCTCCCAAGCAGCCTAACTTGTGCAGGTCCGACTGCTACTCATGATGCAGTTCCATAGTGGATGTCATGGTATTTCTCATGGTACCCTCCCTTACACTAACAAGATCTAACAAGGACGTGGTGGAGGCAAAAAACACGTTCAACTAACATGGACGTGCATCTAGTAAAAACCATCAAAATTTAGCTAACAAGGATGCTGCCCTCCAAAATGTATCTAACAAGAGGTTCCCGGGGAATGCCCCAGGGGAGGGATAGCCTGTACACCCAAATCCTGGGAGCGTCCATGTTAGCAAAACATTGCAAGATATGACTGCCTTCAGAAAACACCGGTTCCAGAAACCTGTCGTGCCTCTCTTTTTCTTGCAGGACTGCCAAGGGATCGAATCATAGCTATTGCTAACACCACCGCAGCTCAACAAAATGAAAGCTTTGGAGGTCTGAGATTGGGTCCGAGTTGAGGTTTGTGACTTTTTGAAGCTGTTTCAACGTCCACGTTGGTGTACCAGAGAGTATTTCTCATGTAAACCAGTGCAAACCAATCATTGGGTACCCCATGGTATCCCCAAATCTCATGGCTTGTCAAACTGATTTTCCTATCGCTGACATTGGGAGAACTCACCACCCATTTAATCATTTTCTTCCGAGGATCCGGTGGAGTCAAACCAAGGACAACTGTTGCAAAAGCGTGACTATCAAAGTGAAGTTGGTGAGTTCGTCGTTCGTCAGCCAAATACCTGTGGACGAACGAAGGCCACCGGGCACCGTGGATTTCAAGTTCTCGGGCTGCTGACATCTTTGTCTCAAAATGGAACATACCGTACATACATGTACATACCCCAAATGTTCATCTTACATTCTCTTACTTTAAGTGGTTGGTGGTTTCAACCCCTCTGAAAAATATGAAAGTCAGTTGGGGTGATTATTCCCGATATTTGGAAAGTCATAAAATTCCATGGTTCCAAACCACCAACCAGTTAATTGACATGATCAAATATGAAGCATTTGTTTTGGCCATCCCTCCATCCCTGACCTTCGGATGAGGATGTCCCCCACGGCACAGCTCTTGCAGTTGTAGGCCGTGCGGACGTAGGGCAAAAGCACGTGCTGCAAAAGGTCGTTGAAGAATTCACCCAGGGAAGAATCCAGCCAGGTCCCATTGATCATGGGGTAGTACTCAAAGGACACCTGAGTTCAAGACCCTCAGAAACCACAGATATGGGCGTGCCTCAAAGTGGAGTATTCATTGGAACTAAGGCAACATTGAGGTAACCTACAATAACCTGTACGTTTTTCCGGCAAACGTGTAGTGTATACCACCAATGCTGATCTTTTAAGTAACCACAATCAAACCGCCCATCTGTATGGCACCAAACAAATTAAGTAACGGCACCATGTCATCCACGGAATCCCGCTGCGTGTTGTAGCGCTTGCTGCGTTGGACATGGTCCAAAAGTGTTGCAACCAAGTCCTTCTGTACAAAGCCTCGCAATCGTCTGCAACTGGTGGTCCTGGAACCGAATGTCATCGAATGTCCAGACCCCAACTCACGATGATCTAAACGGCTTAAGGTCTGAACATGTACCCGCCAAATGACGACATTTCAAAAAGGGGATCGGGATGATAGTAATCCATTCGAGTTGGTGATTCTGACCCAAGAGTCTTAGAGCTCAGCATTCTCATTCACATAGAAAACAGAACAAAATAAAGCTAACCAGCAAAGAAACTTTCAAGGCAACTCCCTGAAGACTGTACATGAGGAACACTTCCCCCATGTTCCCCCTACTCTTTGGGAATTCCCATCGCATGTATATTATTTTTTGGTTGTCTTTCACCATCGTTATGTCACCTGTTATGCAAGTTAACTCCTCTAAATTGCACACAAAAAACACAAAAACAGCAATTGGAAAAATAACAAACAAAAACACCCCAAAAAAAACAGCAAACTACAAATTCACAAAAACTGAGGGAAAAAACAATACATGCAAACAACATGCACAATAAATGCAAAACACCAATAGTTGCCAAGTTTTGGTTAAGGATTGTTTTCCTTTTGATTGTTTTTTTTTGGCATTTGTTTTCATTGCTTTTCAATAGGTTTTTCGTGATTTTCAAAGTTGGTCGGGGCAACGTTTAACACCATCTCATCATATCTCATCTGAGTGTCCCTTCCAAGCCAGGAATTCGTAGCTTCTTCTCAAACTTCCAGACCTCTTCGATCCCCTCCATTCCAGCGAGTTGCAGTGTTCGCTCACTGGCATCCTCCAACCTAGGACAGATCAGGATAGATCAGCTAGATCATGATGAAGAATGGATCCGAATTGTGATACCCTGATGATGCAAACAAAAAAAAAGAATCGACAAGGATGTTTGACCCTAACATGAAAACGTGGCCGAAACATACTGGGAACTGGATTTAGAGTCTTAAGGAAACAGATGTATGTAGCTTCGGTAACATAGATATCAGTCAAAGGCCCTTCATCTGGGTAAACTCTCAAAGCAAAGGCTGAAACACATGGATAATTGGGATGCTTACCGCCCAAGTCCCAAGTTGGCAAGCTATTGGCTGTTATCCTCTTAGTATAACTTAAATAACAAGAAATAGCTACGTAATGGAAACTGGCCCCCATATAGTTCGATGATGTCCTAAACGTGGCGATCCATGGCGATCCCAGGCCATGTTAGATGGTCCCAGGAACCGAAGATTCTGCAGTGCACGGCCAGTGGTGCCAACAACCCCAGCCACCACGCCCCACGTCGACGGCATTTATTTCCAGCAGTTTCAAAGCGGTTTTGTTCCCTGCAATGGATTGCAATGGGATAAGGAAAAATCATGAAAAAAAAAACGGGGTTTTGATTTAAGTTGTTTTCCCCAAGTACTGGCAGCTTGTAGACGTTTCAACTATTTCTGGGATCAATAGATGCGTTGTCCACGAAAATCGGTTGAAGCGCCAAAATCTAGGGATTTGAAGTTTCGACAACTATGGCATATTCCTTTCAATCTTGCAGTAGGTCTATGTTCAGTCCCCCCATGTCATGACCTTATCGACGTGGCACTGTGGTCAACTGCTCAGGGCGGAATCTTGAGGACAGGCCGCATGCATCAGGTCTTACAATTGGCCACCAAATCTGCTTTTAACAAGCTGGCGACAAATTTTGGACAGACTTGCAGCGTAGTGGATTAAAAAGAAACTGCAACGATGTGAACTTTTTGAATTTGTTCATTCCCTTGAGGTTGTCATGTCATTGTGTTTTAATGAGAAGTGGCTTCACCCTCCCTCAGCCCCATTCCTCACCCTCAAGAAAATCATCTCTGCTATGAATCCAAACCTGCTCAGTCCCCTGGATTTTCACATTGAGCTGGAGTTGTTGGACGTTCTCGGATGTTCATCACCCAAAACTGATGGTGAATCATAGGTTTTGACACCTCGCCACATCTGCAAAGGATGTGATCACCTCCCCCAGGATTAACTCTGAAGTTCGTAAAGGATTTTCAGACATTTTGAGCCCAAGAATATGATATGCTCATTGTATAATCACGTTACAATACCACCCAAGAATTAGAACCCCAACATGATCAAATCCAAAAATACAAGTTAATTAAACCAGTTTTTTTTTTTCCGGGGGTAGTTAATATTGGGGGGAATGGATTGTAGCTGGTTTGTACCTGCGTTATACACCCATGCAACTAGCTGACATTGTGGATCACATGAGAAGGCATGAGTGCCGCGCCGGTCCCTTTTGCTCTGTGATCGGACCGTCTACCTTTCCCTGTGAAACTTGCACACAGGAACAATGGATCTGGTCAAGTCATCCGTTGCTTGATTTGTTTTTGGATCCCTTCTTCATACCCTCTGGTAAACTTAACATAACTATGGAAAATCATCATTTTCAATGGGTAAATCCACTATTTCTATGGCCATGTTCAATAGCTTTTTGTATGTTTACCAGAGAGTAATTATCACACATCCCCCCGACGGTTTCGTAGGGGATGAAATCCCATAGGGACCATATATGGGTGTTTAATACTAAGGGATAGGATTCAACTCTTGGGAAAAACCTGACCGTTGAATTGTGGCTTAGTGGAAGCCGTGTGCAGGGTCGAATTGGTACTTCTAAGGCTCCAAACTTAGATTTTTTGACAGTTGGGCTCATCTTCTCAGCATGAAGCCAAAATCAAAATGTAGAAACACAATCATAAACAATCACAGTCCCATACTTTTCCATTGAACAATCAAAGGAGTAAAGGTTGCAACACCATCACAGTTCGTATCTGTACCTCCGGGACCATCCCTGTCATGCCACCCTGACGGTATTCCAAGATATTACATATGGCCATATGGCGTTCTAGGCATAACATCTTGGCATATCTTGGTGTCAATGTGGATGATATACCCCATCTGCTATCTATCTTCAATCTTCAACGGCTGTAGATAAAGAAGATTGAAGATTGGGGATGAATAATTAATGGATTATGATAACTATATTGGATAACTATAGATAATTATCCATAGATTCTATGAGAACTCACATCACTTTATTGGGGATGAAATTCCCAGTCGACCACCATCTCATGAATATTTACCGATTCCCCGCCAAAAAATGCAATCAAAGACTAAACCGGCCGTTTTGAAGTTGAAACTGTTTAAACATCAGCAGGGTCGGATCAATTCAATTCAGAGATTTGGATGTTTCTTTAGTCTAGGTATCCCAAAATCAGTGGTTTCAGCATTAAACATGACCCATAACTTCTATGATAGTTTGGGGTCCCCCATAAGAAGCCTCGATGGGCTTCTCGCGGCGCTCTCAGGTGTCACCGCTGGGTGCACATCCGAGAGAACACGCCTGCGGGGCACACGTTGACCCAGCACATGTGGATAGGAAAATCGACCATGGAATCCATGGATCGCTACTGAGTCGGAAAATCTAGCAAACTATGGCCGGTTTTTATTTTTCATTTCCAGTTCATGGATTCTGATTGATAATCCCAATATATCCCAAGAAGAATAGCCATGGAATATGTTTCCGCGTACAAGGACCAAGAAAATCCCAACTGAGTCGTATGCAGCAGGAGCCTTTAAGTAAGACAACGATTGAAGGCCACTGAGAACCGCAATTTGACTGGTCATGGCTAGTCTTTCACCCATCCAAATTTGCCAAGTAGCCAACTGTCTGCACATGCAAGACACTAGTTTTGAAAGCGCACAGTGAGATCAGTGAGTAGTACCATCACATTGGTCCTCTCTATGCTTTGTCTTGCTTCAAGATCATTGGTTCTGTTCCATGTTCAAAACCCTCCCGCTAATCATCGTGGGTGTGTCTGAATCTGGGGCGCCATACTACCCATTTGTTGGGAAATGGGTTGGTGGTTTCAACCTATCCCAACAAGGCAATGCTCGTCAGTTTGGATCATCATCCCATTTCAAGGGTTTGAACCCACCAACCAGTGGTCAATATTGGTATACCCATTGTATCCCCATGATGTCACTATATGCAATACTGTATAGTTGGTTATATCAAGTTTTATCTTATATCCACAATTTCCATCTTTGATTGGATAGTAATCCCTGCCATGCTGGACCTGGCATCACCGTGCAAGTGCTGAAAGAGCGACCTGCGGCTCTGGCACGTGGGGGTCCTATGGTTTTGGGGATATAACATCATGATATATTATATATATATATATATTATTATATCATATATTTGGGGGGACAAAGCGGTCAAAGTTGGGTGATCAAAGAATGGGATAATCATATCAAAAATATCTAAAAAATGAACCCCAAATCCTCAGGTGTCAATGCATAGATTCAGTGATTCAGGGCTTCCCCCAAGGAAACCTCAACCCAAAACCGCTGAAATCGGATTGGCAGCAAACTAGATAGATGGATTTGTCCAATAGTTAGATGATGATATACCGTGATATACCCCCAAATTAAGTGTTTGATCCTTATTGTTCCTGTTAAACTGGCAATTCTGCGGTATTTGCATCCCCCATTTATGGATAAACATCAACAATTGTTGTGTCAGGGGATGCCAGGTGCAACTCGGCCCCATGTTTGCATCAAACAAACCCAACAAAGGTTGATGCTATATGATGCTATCTTTTCTTCCCAATTCTTGCGAGACTCCAGCATGTTGAATCTATTTTCCATAAAATCCGTTCAAGAAATGAATCAAAATGACCTTGGAACAGGACCTCCGTTTCGAAGCGATACATGTGCAAACAAACGGGTAAGTTTTCAAACTTGAAACCCCCAAAACCATGGGGTGTTTCCGGCATTCACTTGAACTTAAAACTATCCATAAACATGTTTGTTCGACAGCATGACTTTCAACCATACCAAATGCTGATGATATGTATAATCAAACCATAAGCAGTCTTCACCGCTCACACTGCCCCGTTGCATCAGCACTAATTAATTACATGTTTCTGAGATGCATTGGTGCAAAATATAAATGCCAAGTCAAAGACATTCATATTGCCTGTTTTTTTAAACCGAACATATGGCTAATCGGCTAATCTATAGCTAATCTATGATTTTGTTTCCAGTGACTACCATCTGGTAATTTAACATAGCTATTGAAAATGGCCCAGTCGAAATAGTGGATTTACCCATTGAAAATGGTGATTTTCCATAGTTTTTTGTATGTTTACCAGTGACTAGAATATCTACAATTCCCATGTTTCCGGGATTTTCAATGGATTTTCTGGGTTGCCATTCGCATTTTCACATCGCCGTCTGGAAGAGCGCCTCGATCCTCCAACTGTGCCAAGCTGGCCAATGGATACACCGTGGGTCTGCCATGAGCACACCTGGGATGGGCAAACTCACGTGAATCACACCTTGGGGGGTAACCAAGGTGTTGACCGGCGAGGAGAAGTCAACCAATTTCGACTGTACAGAATATGCCATGAATATGCCATGAATATACCAAATTGACCAACCTATTTTTGAAATTTTCGAAATATGCCATGCTTTACACAACCTGATTCTACTCCGTCACCTCCCCATGTGTTTCTGAACCAAATCTCATACCTTGGTGCCGCACTGAAAGGGCAATTCACATCTGCTGAGCTCCCTCATGAGCCGTTCCATCTGTGCCTGTCAAGGGTTAAATGCCCTGAGGCCTGAGGAAATAAAGAGGTCACTTTGAATGGCATGGAAGGAATTAATTCATCCCATGATCTATTGTCTTTTGTCGGGGAACAACTGCAGAACAAATAATTATGTCCCTTTCACCAAATTTCCTTATCCTGATTGTTTTCGTTTCATATTTCAACAACCAATTTACATGAGTCTTTCAAAATCATTTCTGAAATTGGAGAAAAACTCCAAAAAAAAAACACATGGAATCCATATGGGTTTCCCATTGTCCTCCGATCCCCTTTCGCCATCTCTCGCCTGTTCGAGGTGGTCGTTGAATTTGATGGCACGACGGCAGGCTTTGAAGGTCAAAATGTGCCTGGTGGGATGGGCAGAAAACATGGATGCTATTCCCCATTAATAAACATGGAATAAGTGGATAACCATGACATATTTTTTTCAGGATGGGGGTAAACATAATTTTGAGGAAAACCTCACACTGGATGGTTCAAGATTCCAAGTTTTCGGGAGCGGTTTTTTTTTTCAGCCAATGGATGTCCATTTGGCGTCTCGTCAAGTCGATCACACAATGAAAGATGCCTTTTGCGTATTTCTTGCGCCGCCCTGCCCCCCCCCGAGGAAGCCACAAGATCACAGGTGGCACAGAGGGTCTACCACCAACTTGGCTGGCTTCAGCCGCAGAAACTACCTGAAATTGCACACAGATCCAAGTCTAGTATGAATGAGACAAAAAATATCAAAAAATGAGATCTTCACGCATGGCATCCCAACAAAAGACAATTTGAAGAAATGCGCATCACACATCGTGAATCTTCCAGTTACAGTCCCCGCTTCCAGACTTCAGCAATTTTGCTGCTCCTGAGTTCCGGGCTCCCTTCAAATCCTTGGGCTCCAGAAAAGTCCCCAAGATGTTGGGCACGTGAGTGACCACCTGGGAGTTGATCACGTCACCATGCTGTTAAGGGTTTGGCATTGCTTTAAGTCGACCTGCACCAATCGATTTGGACCATTTGATACCATGTGGAAAACACATGGCTTCTGATGAGTTCTTTTCTTCTGTTTTTTCCCCTTGCTGCTAAGAATTGACATCAACACGAACCACAGACCTGACGGCACCAAGGAACCACTTCATGATCTGCCGCACCTGGCAGTACCACGTGGTAGCAGGAGAGCGACCACACACGCACAAACATGTCATGAGAAACATAGTATACTGTACATGTTCAGTTTGAGAGTCGCCATGGTTTATCAGTTTGGCGTGAAATATAAGTTTTATTCATTTTTTTCTAAACATATATCAGCTATACAAGTGTGGCACCAGTGCGTTTACTGTGTGTTTTAAACACCCATGGTTCAGTAGTACCCTCTGGGAAACCAACATAGCTATGGAAAATCACAATGTTTAATAAGTAAATCAACTATATATGGCCATGTTCAATAGCTATGTAACAAACTACCAGAGTGTAATTTCAATAATACCATCAACTTTCATTCAGCACAACTGTATCCCCATATTTTTGCTGGTCAGAACCTCTAATTACCAAATATTACCAAAGGGTAACTTCCATCATCGCCACTTTTTACCACGGATCTCCTCATATCCTCATCATATCCCCATTATTCCACTATATTCCACTAGATTGTCACATTAATCCTCATTAATCCCCATTAAAATCCATGAGCTAATCCCCGTTAATCCCATGAATCCGAGCAAGAGCCCGCGCAACGGCGCTGGCCTGCTCGCCAGCGAAAGCCGCAGCCTGTGGCAACTACAAAAGTCTAACTCATGATACATCAATTTAATATCTAACATATATTTATTGCTTTATGTATGCATCTAAAAATAGATACACTATATATATAATTATATGTGTGTGTGCATATTTCAATGTAATAATTCACATATGCATATGTAATAACAATAATAACAAAATAATAATATAACAATAGTAATATACAGTATAAATATATACGTATATATGTATATCTCATCCATATCAATTTTCTATCCACCTATCTACCTATCTATCTATCTATCTATCTATCTAACTACCATCTATCAATCCATCCATCGGACGCACACCAAACATGGCACACCAAAAAAAAAGGTTGCCTACGGGAAAAACCTTTGCTCAAATTGCGCTTGCTAGGACCTCAAAGTTTCAATCTCCTGATGTAGGCTTCCGGGGTCTTCGTGGCAACCCATGTATACCCATTTATATGTAATTATGTGTATATATATATAATTATGTATATATATAATTCTTGTGTGAACGGCTGCTGGTTGAACAAACCATCCCAAAGATATGCTCGTCAATTTGGATCATCATCCCATTTTTCACAGGGTTTAAACATGTTGAAACTACAAAATCCTTCAAACCTTCTGCCTATTATTCTTGGGCCTCACCTGGCTGCCTCATCTGCTGTGCACGTGGATATTTCATCACCGCTTCTGGGAATTTCTGGGCTGCAATTCTCCAACCCATGCCATGCATCTTTCAACCAAAATACAGTAGGTTCGCCAAACAGGAAATGGGTTTGTCTGAAAATTGGATACCCCTAAATTTAAATCCAGTGGCTCATCATGATTTTCCACATCCAAATGGCCATAAAGAGTGGGTATACCATGTTCAGACATACCCAAACAATCATGGCTAATCATACTTAATTCGTGGTTGGGTTCAATATCAATATCCCATTCTATCTCCAATCAACTAGCCACCACTTCCATTAAATCACCATTAAGTATGGTGAACCCCATACTACCCCTAGCCTCCATCAACCCCAGCACAAAATGCAGCTACCCCCGACCCAGGCGTGGCCTTCCACGAAGCCGCCATGCTTCTGCAGCCATCGCCGTTCCTCCGCCAGCAACGTCACAGTGGTGCCAGGACCGTGGACGGCCTCCTGAATGGTCATGACATCGCCACAACTTCCGGACGTTTTTCTGGGACAGAAATTTGTCGAAATTAAAAACACTCCAGATCAGTCTATCTAGGATTATTTTTCTGGGTTTTTTCATAATCTATCCAGAATCTATAGATCAAATCTCATTTTTTTAATCTATGATTGCACAAAGCTATATGATTCATATGATCTGTCTCAGCCAAAAATCATCAAGACGTGGTTTTAGTTTCACCCTAAACCTCTAAACGAAATCCCCGAAAAACACATTTTGACACAGCGAGGCTCCGAGGGAAGCTTCTTGGCCGTCAGAATTTCATGTTGCAGACGTTCCAGCTCGACCTGGCAGCATTGACAGATCCAACCTATAGCGGCACCCCCAAAAAAGGTAGAACAGCAATTTATCACTGTTTTTATGCATTATTTTACTAGGATTTAGTTTTTCTATCTTTTTAGGATTGGAGTTACTATAATGAGATAATTCGTATAGAATGGGTTGGATTGAATTGATCATGATTCTAATGATTGATGAGGACTGATGCACTTTTATTTACACATAATATGATTCCTTGACAATCCCACTCTTGGGGTACCCAGCTTTGACCTATCGTGTGGCCCCCGCGTGAAACCCTGCTGAATCTTCTGATGAAACAGCTCTGTCGGTTTCAAACGGGTTCAGAATCATCACTATTGAAATGCCGCTCCCGGTAAACCAGGGGGATATTCGCCATGCAATGCATGAAGGCGGAATTGTGCAGGTAGAATCAGAAGGCAGCTGGCAGCACATCACCATACATCACCCATTTTTTCTGCATGCACCGACGAGCGTAACTTGAGGCTTGGGGGGGGCAAAGCAACCAAAAAAGTAAAAGTTCCTGGCCCAACACACAAATCGACACACATATTTTCCGAAATGTTCAACTTACGCATGCTGTGCGCGGTTCTAATCACATGTTTCGCATCCAAACGAAAAAAAATGAAGTGATCGAGGTACTCATGGGAATGGACGATCCATTCAATGCCTGAAAGATCAACTTGGCCCCAAGATCTCACTGGTCGAATGTCGTTATCAGAAAGTCACCGCAGGTGGAGGGCCGCTTTGGATCTCAAACTCTGGTGTTTATCATGTCAACCCCTGAAAAATGTTGTCATTTGGGATCTCTCTCCGTATTTTGGCAAGAAACAAGCAAAATAAACAAGACTAGACCAATCAGTTTTTTTCGTTGCTTCAATTTGTTTGCCCTCTTTATCTCATTCACAGTGTGCTTCAGGATGCAACAACGCATGACGGCTCATGACGGCCTTTCCCCCTGGCTCGACTCAGTGACTCAGAGCTGATTTCGCTCAGAGCCGCAGTTCACGGAGGAAGGCTTGTGCTTCAACCTTGGCCATGCTGTTCAGGATATACCCACCACCAGTGCGCAAGGTCTTTGCATCTTGGTTTGCCACCTCAGCTCGACTGTCAAGCTTGAGGACCTCATTTCCATAAGCATTAAGCATGGGTAGCGCAAATACAGGCCTGTGTAAAAAACGCATTTGCATTTACTACTTTACTTCTACTTACCTACCTCAACCTCCTCCTAAAAACACATCGAAAACGTGACTACAATACCCTCCCACAATCAAACATGGCTGGAAAAAAGAACCAGCAATAGTCTGATGATGTTTGATGATTTTCATTAATTGATGTTCCCCATGTTTTTACCACTACAAGCCACCATTCCCATGAAGGTCAACCGCTGCATGCCACCAATGCCATGCCCGGCACCTTTCGAAGATAGTCTTCGAACTTGGCGGTCAGTTTCTGCTCCGTTTCTTGGAAAGGCTGCATTCAAACCCGGCTCAAGTCCATAAGCCCATAGCTCCCCACTCTCTTCACCGTTCTGAACTTTTTGGTGCAGTAATTTGTTACATAGCCATGGGAGTCACTATTTTAAGCTTTGGGCCATCTCCACACGGATAAACGGTTGATGAACGTCTCTGCTCATGAGCCCCCCTCAAAATACCTCCGGTTTTGTGTACTGCTACTCTATGCTGTCTAATTTCGATTGTTGACATCCTTCGCATCATATCCCCATCCCCGAACAAAAACTCTGCCCGGTGGCTAATGTGACCGAAACAGAAGTTATTTAGCAAACACCAGTGGCCAAAGAACCGTGTTAATGTGTCTGCTTGTCCAAAACCATACGAGCACAATGACTTTCAAAGTATATCATAGATAACATAGAATCAGTGTTTCCTTCTCGGGGAACGGACAACAGTGGTAATTTGCAAATCCCATCCGCCAGTCAATAAAAAGGAGAGAAACACCCAAATGTATCTAAAATTGTCAACCATTACTGTCATAGTTATCACATAAAAAAAATCCCATCCCCTTAAATTTATTTAAATTTAGTATTCAATACATTTAAATACCATCAACAAATGAGAGGATCCTTTGAAAAAAAATCCAGCAATTATTTAACCACATAAACCACATTCCTGTGGTATTCCCATATTCTTATGTCAATTGATGGAGTTTAATCCCGCATAAACATTGGATAACCTTTCAAGCATCGTTTCCTAAATGGTGGTACCCCCAAAATCATTCATTTTTATGGATGTTCAAATTTATTCCACTATAAACCATCCAGCTATTGGGGTACCCCCCATGACTTAGGAAGCCCTCAGTTTAAGTTCCACATTCCTGTGGTATTCCCTATCTTCTGATGTCGACGGAGTTTAATCCCACATAAACATTGGCTAAATGAAAAGCTCCAAGTTCAAAAGTCCCGCATTTCTTTTCCCACATATACATAACCCACATAAACCCATGGTGTCCCCCCAAAAAAAAACACCACAGTCGTGGTGTTTCAAGCATCTGGAGGCCCGCTGCAACTTCATCAGCTTCGCTTTCAGCGCCTTCAATTCCGCCAGATCATCCTGCAAGTGCCGCTGGCGCAGTAGCTCCGCCTGCTGGTAGAGGCGTCGTTCCCTCGTCTCCTGACGAAGGTGAGTCGGTGCGTGCAGGGGATGTGCCTATAGGGTGGGGACGATATAAGATGTAACGCTTGATATTGGGTAGTAGTACAGGTAAACATCACATTATATACTATGACCCAGTTATATATAATCATAGTTTTTATAGTTTATATATAGGATATATATATATATATAGGATACCCCGATCTATTATGGCGTCTGAACCATTTTTTAAGTGGGATGCACACCCATGGGAGGCTTAGCCCTCTTGAAACGAAACGGCATGGGATGGGGTGAAGGTCAGCCCTGGTCCCTGGTCGAAGGATTGGATAGAAACATGTGTGTTGTTAAATGGATATCCCTGTGGAAACAGCTGGGAATTTATATCAGATGGAAATAGAAAGGAATACCATAACAATCAAACATATGGAAATAGATATGAACAAAAATACCGCACGATATCGCACGAGAAACAGCCATGGGAAATAAATATGAACATAAATATAAGATTGCCCTCTAAATGATGATATGTTCATTATAGAAAATATCATATAAATGGAAAAAACATATCATGAAAACTACCTGGAACCCCAAACAAACAGAAATTGCAATGGTGATTTCCCCAAAACTACCTGAATTGTTGTGTAGGGATTTGTCACTTCCCCTTGCCCTTGGGCCTCAAGGGCTATCGCGATAACTAGGCCCTAGAAGTCTCACCAACATGTGCAGCTGCAGGGGTTACCATCAATACATAACTGGTTGGTGGTTTCAACCCCTCTGAGAAATATTAGTCAGTTGGGATTATGATTCCCAATATATGGAAAAATAAAAAATGTTCCAAACCACCAACCAGATAACCTTCTAACAACCAATATGCATACACACGCATATATATATATATGTGGGATGCTCCCAAGCTTCTTCATTATCATACCAAAACCGGAAGGAAACAATTGTGATAATGTCCTTACCCTCTGGTAAAGTAACATAGCTATATGGACAATCACCACTTTACCAAGTAAATCCACTATAAATGGGCCGTGCCGTGTCCCATATCTATGCAACAAAGTACCAGAGGATGCAGGAACCATGATCTGCAGTCGCAAATAAGCAGGCTCCTGCAGCTGTGAGTGCAGTCCTTGGCTGATGAAGGATCATTGTAGGTGAGGCCAGCCGTTGGGTTATCTGTGATAGAATCGCTGGGACCACGTGTGTTTCTGTCAGCATGGATGCAAGTACCGCGTGCCACAACTTTGTTTGCTGCACAGATTGGAATCCCTCAGTCACATGCCGGTATCGGGGGAACATCGGTGTGTCCAAACTGGCGAAGCCCGGACATGAAATGGTGGTTTTGTTTGCATTTACGGCTAAAGCTTCACTTAACCCATCTTAACCCATTCTCTAACTCCTGAGCTTTACCCAGGATGTAGGGAGCATATCGCATATCTCCAACCCAACCCTCGTCCACTTGGTCAGTCCACGCGCATCTTCAGCAACGAGGTCGTTGTATTTGCTTCGCACCTGGCTCGTCTGACACCAGTGAAATGGGTCCCTAGAGATAGTCAAGGTCAGCATCAAACCAATACTTGTCGGCATACTTCAATAACTTTTTTCGTCGTCAGTCCCTAATTCATCGATTTAATAAGTGAGACCGCTACCCCATTTTGCAGCTCAGCGGCTTGCTCCAAGGAGATCTGAAATTGTTCCTGACACGGGTCCACCATGATGGCCACTCATGGTCCGCAAGTTGTGGTCAGTGGTTTGTGGCAAAACATGCGGCAATACTTCCCAGACAGCCTACTCATTCAGTCTGGGTGAATGATATAACGTTTCTAGATGTTTCTAGTGTTCTCGTATGCCAGGCAATTCGATGGTCGAATCTTCTCAGCCTGGGGGTTCCCTGTGGCCCCTGTGGCGCCTCCTGCAGTTGGAACTCCATGAGCTTCTGCTGTTGCTCCTCCATCCTTTCTTTCACCTCGCCGAAAAAAGCTGTCGCAACGGGACCAGATCCCGATCCCAATCCCATCCCCCACACCATGGGGCAGAACCCAGCAGCAGAAGCCGTCTGAAGGATTATAAGATTAGTTGATACTTAAATATCCCATTGCATCTATCAAATACCCACTGACACCCATTAGGTCATTAAGTCATCATTATTCTGGTTGGTGGTTGACCTACCCCTCTGAAAAATATGAAGGTCAGTTGGGATTCATGTTCCAAACCACCAACCAGTATTTATATAACTATTGCAAATAAAAACCATTCTTCATAAGCTACCCTCCACAACGAAGCCTCAGGATCCCATGGTGAGATGTGCTGAGCCATAACGGCCCAGCAACGTCACAGAGATCCCAAGCCGCATCCGCAAGTTCTAGGGATAAACATGCTATAAAACCAAACAGCCAGACAAAAAAAGACAAGGAATGCTTTCATCAGGTGTCTCGAAATCAAGCCTGAAGCAACAAGAACCTAGTTGGTGGTTGACCAAATATGAGTTCGTCAGATTGGATCATCATCCCAGCTATTGGGGAAAATAAAATTCAGGTTCCAAACAGGAACAGATTTGTTGGAAAATCCTCCATGAACAGCCCATTGTCTCGGTGAAATCAGCCCATCTTCCCGGGCGAACCACCCCGACTTCCAGCCTGAGTGGCCTCGGCAACATCCTCATCCTCACCTGAGGATCTAGCAGTTTCGTCTCATCCGGGAAGGAGATGCATGAACTTCATACCACATATTGTCCACATGGAACAAGAAAGCGATTCCACAATATCCCACATTCGTTTTTGTTGTATCATTTAAGCCTCACTTCACCATCACTTGACCAGGTGTCCAAGATGCGAAGTCGGAAATCTTCCTCTTCGCAGAGATGCCGCCGAGTGCAGGATGCCAAGGAACGTTGGAACATGTCCACGCCTCAAAATTCATGGAGAAAAAAGGGCATATCAACGGGAAACAATGGAGATAAACTAGTCATTGTCTTGGTTTAAGTTTTTTCAAGAAACACATGTTTTTAACATGTGTTCACACAAAAAAATGCCTTTCCAGCCAATGTTCCGTTCATCCAGTCTTGGGAAGCATGAGTCTGTCCAGAATGGAGGAACTGAAACAACAACACAATAGTTCAATAGACTGTCTGAACATGTCTGAGCATTATAATGCTAGATTATGCTAGATAAGCTATCGGTAGTCACCATTTCTTTCTTCCCAAATCTAGGCTTTATCCTTCTCCATGCAGTCTTTCCATTAGTTGGCTGCGAGGGAAAAAAAAGGCCCTACCACATCCTACCACACGTCTGATGGTTAATTCCTCATTTTGATATGTTCATTGATTGAAGCCACATACTCAGCAGAAAATCCATAAAACACTCTCAGAATTGGATGAAGGGAACATTAACAGGAACTCTAAAATGCTGGGAAACGCGCGCAAGGGTTTCCGCTTATTTCCATGTTCAACCCAGCTAGCAAAAGAACAACCAAAATTTGGCCAACACAGAGCCAATTTGACCAATGCCAAGCAACTGGAATCATATTTTTCCATGGCTTCACGAAAGATCTTTTCTTGGTGCTGCAGTTCCCTCTCAGCTTCGTGGTGTTTCACCTTCATGGCTTGCACAAAGATCTCCTAAGGTCACAGATGGCGGTGTTTTTTGGATGGTCCCTATATAAGCGCAACCGGACTCACCAAGATGGCTAACGGCTAACCATGGTGATTTATTCGTTATTTTGGCGTGGAAAACAGCCAATCCCCCTTTTATGCATGAAAATACAGCCATAACATAATATCGATATATTCAACTCCGGGTGTGACTTTCGGCAGCCCCGCTGAAGGTTTAAACAAGAAATTGGGATTTGCTGAAAGTGAGGGAGAACAGAAAACAGTTCTAAAACTGACTGAAGGCTGCACCCAAGTACCCATTCTCGGTTCATGTTGTGAAAGTTCGCGACACGCTCGGCCAAACACTTCAGAAGACCAGAACGGGTGCTTCGACCCAGCTTGAAGCGCTGACACACTTGAAAGGCCAGCCTTGTTTAGCAGGAGGTTCAAGAACAGCCACCCCTGCAGGGTTTCAACAGCAAAGCTTTTCCAATGGTCTGTGGGGATGAAAAGTGATCTGAATGCATGCGTGACACATAGCTGACATAGCTCAAAGGCTGACTAGCGGATGGAATGATGATGGAATGCCCAGCTTGCAAGCAGGAAACTGATGGCCACACATCGCCCCTTCTTCACTCATACCTTGGGCTTGCACCACAAATGGAAGTGGAAAACTCTCACCACTTGGCATGGTTCGGCAAGTCTTCAGGGATCGCCTGAAGCTTAAAGAACTCCAGCATCTGACCACCGTGTTTCAACCATTTTGAGCTGTTCACCATGTTTCACCCATCTCTTCCCCCCAACTTACCTGTTCAACATCACGAATGTGGAATGAACAATGCCAAACCACCACCAATTGTCAACCATTTTGGGCTATTTCAATTTAGTGCAGGCGGGTGTTCTTCACAATTTCACACATCACTACTGTTGCTGGATTATTCTGGTGGATCCCAAAGAAGATTAAGGATAGAACTGCTGTAAATCATTGTAATCTATTGAATGTAGCTCACAGCCATTAGATCAGACATTCAGTCAAACAATTTCATTTTATAGAATTCTATAGCTTTTATATATTCTTTTATCAATCATCAATCATTTAACACCCATAGGATCCATGGTGCTGGTATATATGCTAACATAAAGGGGATATATTGATGGGATCCATGTGACCATATATAGCAGCACCATGGATCCTATGGGACATAGAAAAAACATATCGAAAAACCACAGCTCCCATATTTCCTTCGCCAAGGTACCCCAGTGCGCCGCGAAGGTCGCGCCACAGACCTGGTCCTGGGGCGTTTTCACCGTCTCGGCGCCCGGGTTCGTGGCGGCGCCCTCGACCTTGCGAAGGAAGCGGCTTCGAACCATGGAAAAACCATGGGAGTTTCGGTGAAGAATCTGGGATGTTCGGAAATTTTAGGTGGACATTTTATACATGTTATGACATTTTGATATATTTTGATGAAGATTTCAGACAGGATCAAGTGGAAACGGGTATCGTTTGGGGGGTTTTGGTCCGGTCAGGTGACTCTCTCCGCTGTTCCAGCTGCATATTAGCTGACAAGCAGCATCCAACTTCGGAATGCTGCGAGGTGTTGTACTGGAGGGTCGGGGTGTGCTGGTGCCAGCGTGACGAAGCGAAATTTCCACGTTCTCACCTGGAAACTTTGGAAACTTTGGAGGCGAAAAATGGAAGTTCATTCGCAGCTGCTGTAGCACATGATGAATGAACCTATTGTGCTGAAGGGGAACTTCGTTGACCAGCATCATGGTTCAAAGCAAAGGGATGTGGAGGGTATGTTGATGGCGAAACTGCAACAAGGAGAAGTTCAGCCTGGAAGATACTTCCTGACCCAACCTCAGGATGTTAAACAAACATAAACAAACCATCTAAAACACAAACCACTCAAGCCAACCAATTGCGGTGGCGCTGCATCGCTGCATCATGAGATGCTACCAACACCCAAGGCACCACCGATGAAACGCAGCTAAGGTGCCTCCCCAAACGTGCACCCAGCACCATTTTCCATCGATGAATTCTTCCACCGAATCCGCATCGCCAGAGCTCCAAACAGGAACATACCTAAGGTCTTTAAGGGGCACAGCAATGGGCATACCACAAAATTCAAGGCCTAACCGCCTTGTTGCAAGGTTACACCGGAACAACTTCGGCATTCAAACTGGCTAGTTGGGCACCCCGGAACACGCACATCAGGCTAATCTCGACCCCCTATTAATAAAGGTCCCCCTAATAAAAAGAATGCCGGCGCTCGGGACCATTTTTTTTTTATTGTTTTTCCATTCCGCCTATTGAAAACCAATACTACATGAGCCGAGAATAAATTAACACGCCTCGTCGAGCTTATTAGGGGGCATCCTAGCAGCAATCGAACTTTTCGAGGACTCCATCCGTGTGTGTGTGTGCACACCGTTATCACAAATGGTTCCATTTTCATCTAAAGCAGGGCTACTGGAGCCAATTTGCCTATCCAGTCCAACGAAGCTATGGCAGTACCCGCTTGAACTGTTGAATAAGCGGGCCCGCAATGCCCTGAAGGGGTCAAAAAACATTACTGCTACTGCCACTACGACTGCTGCTACCCCTACTACCACTCCTTTCGCTACTGCTACTGCTAGTGCTGCTGCGACTGCTCGTGCTACTGCTACTACTACTACTACTGCTACTACTACTACTACTACTACTAACTACTACTACTACTAACTACTACTACTACTAACTACTACTACTACTACTACTACTAGTACTAGTACTACTAGTACTACTACTGATACTACTACAACTACTACTACTACGACTACGACTACTACTCTTAGAATTGTTTGGTTCTTTACTGCCAATTGTGTCAAGTGTTGTGCATGGCCAGAAAAGGGTCTGAAACAGTCTGAAACAGGTCTGAAACATCCACATCTCCAGGATCTCAGCCCGGGTCTAGCTTTTACCAATATTGTCCTAGTTTCAGTCTTCAAATTTCCATGTCTGTCTGTTTCACCTCTCGTCTCTTGTAGATGCCTTTCTGACTTGTTGCTTTTTCCCCTTCCACGCGACCTTTTGCCCCTTGGTCGCAAATGACAGCGCACTCGTATGTTCAAGGGGGCCCTCAATGCCGTGAAGGGGTCCGAATACATTACTTTGACTGCTACCACTACTGCAACGACTACTACTACTACTACTACCACTACTACCACTACGACCACTACTACTACTACTACTACTACTACTACTAGTAGTACTACTACTACTGCTGGTAGAATTGTTTGGTTCTTTGCTGGCAATAGCTTTGACCAATATTGTCTTAGTTTCAGTCTTCAAATTTCCATGTCTGTCTGTTTGACCTCTTGCCTCTTGTAGATGCCTTTTCTGACTTGTTGCTTTTTCCCCTTCCATGCTACCTTTTGCCCCTTGGCCGCAAGTGATAGCGTACTAGTATGTTCCAGGGGGCCCGCAGTGCCTTCAAGGGGTCAGAAAACATTACAGCTACTGCAAATACCACTACTACTACCACTACTACCACTACTACTACTACTACCACTACTACTACTACTACTACTACTACTAGTACTACTAGTACTACTACTACTACTACTACTACGACTACTACTACGACTACGACTACGACTACTACTCTTAGAATTGTTTGGTTCTTTACTGCCAATTGTGTCAAGTGTTGTGCAAGGCCAGAAAAGGGTCTGAAACAGGTCTGAAACATCCACATCTCCAGGATCTCAGCCCGGGTCTAGCTTTTACCAATATTGTCCCAGTTTCAGTCTTCAAATTTCCATGTCTGTCTGTTTGACCTCTTGCCTCTTGTAGATGCCTTTCTGACTTGTTGCTTTTTCCCCTTCCATGCGACCTTTTGCCCCTTGGTCGCAAATGACAGCGCACTCGTATGTTCAAGGGGGCCCTCAATGCCGTGAAGGGGTCCGAATACATTACTTCGACTGCTACCACTACTGCTACCACTACTACTACTACTACTACAACCACTACTACTACTACTACTACTACTTCTACTACTACTACTTCTACTACTACTACTACTACTACTACTACTTCTACTTTCTTTCATTCCTTTACTCCTGGCTTCTTTGCCCCCCTTCCACATGTTCCTTTGTCCCTTGGCCGAAAGAATCCAAACGAAAAAATTGGTTTGAAGGGGAAGCATGCTGCATCGAAGGGGCGTCGTGGCAGTTGTGATCATCGTCACGAAGGTAGTAGTGGTGTAATCAGCCTTGCGTCAGTGGTGGAATCAGATTCAGTTCTGATCATCGTCAAGGCGGGTAGTCATTTACACCCAATGCCTCAGTAGTAAACGTCGTGGTCGTAGCATCGTAAGTATCACTAGTAATAGTATCCGTACTAGTAGTACGAGTGGAAGAAGAAGTAGTAGTAGAAGAAGTAGTACTAGTTGTCGTACTAGGAGTAGTAGTACTAGTAGTGGCAGTGGTGGTCGTAGTAGTACTAGTAGTAGTAGTAGTAGTAGTAGTAGTAGTAGTAGTAGTAGTAGTAGTAGTAGTAGTAATACTAGTAATACTAGTAATACTAGTAATACTAGTAATACTAGTAATACTAGTAATACTAGTAATACTAGTAGTACTAGTAGTACTAGTAGTACTAGTAGTACTAGTAGTACTAGTAGTACTAGTAGTACTAGTAGAAGAAGAAGTAGTGGTCGTAGTAGAAGAAGTCAGTTTCTTGAGGTTGAAGTCCTTTAAAAAAACACTCTGAAACAGTCTGAAACAAGTCGGAAAATGCACTAATTATTCGAATGAGACAAAGGGAGGGGGGCGCACCGGTTTGCTTTGATGCCTTAAGAAAAAGTCCGTGTGCTGCTACTGGATTTTCTTTCATTCCTTTACTCCTGGCTTCTTTGCCCCCCTTCCACACTAGCCTTTGTCCCTTGGCCGATAATACAAACGACAAAATTGGTTTGAAGGGGAAGAATGCTGCATCGAAGGGGCGTCATGGCAGTTGTGATCATCGTCACGAGGATGGTAGTCGTGTAATCAGCATTGTGTCAGTGGTGAAATCACAGTTTCAGTTGTGATCATCGTCAGAGTCTTTCAGGCTTTGCATGTGAAGGTTTGGGGGCATGTAAGGATTTTGTAAGAGTAGTAGCCATTGTCGTCGAACGAGAGAAAAAATATATAATTCGTTGTGCTGCTATGGCGAGGGTAGTGATGGTCGAAGCAAGCGTGGTAGTAATCGAAGCAGTCGTAGATCATGCCAATGCGAGGCAAACATGGCCAAACATAATATGGTATCTTGGTAGCTTCATCATAAGAACTCCTGCAAATTCAAAGAGAATCAGTCATCAGGCAACATAATTTATTACAACAGATAGCGCCACTCTGAAACACCCCCCTAATAAAAAGAATGCGTTCCCAAAATTTCGAATTTTATTATTAGGGGGGGGGAGGGGGGGGCCCCGTTTATTAATAGGGGGTAGGGATTAATTTGGATCGAACAAAACGCCTCGACAATGATGCGCAACAAAAAGTTAAAGTGCTAGCACCAGCATCTCGAAATCACCAAGACAAATACATGGAAACAACCAGTATTCTGATAACTGTAGAACTAATGAATGGGAGAGTGCCATGACCTACACAACAGCCGAGCCACTCTTGACCTTGCCGCAGCCACAGGATGGCATTGACCTGCAGGGACAGCCGCCGGTGCCTGAAAATGGTATGCTCCACATCAACCACTCTTGGAACATGATGTTTCATGATGTTTTCCCATCTTTTCCGCATGAAATATCGTTTCATCTCCATCATTTCCCCATCTGTTCCCCATGAAATATCGTTTAATTTAATCATGTTTCATCCCCATTCTCCATCATTTCCCCATCTGTTCATCATAGAAAACCCCAGGATTTTCCCATAGTTTCACCATGATGTTCATCTCCCCCATCTTATCGTCGCCGCCTGTGCATCCGACTCCTTGGTCGCCAGGTGCTCTGCGCGGCCCAGTTTGAAGTTGAGCCAACCGCCGTCGGACCACGAGGTGGACCTATAGCGTCGGAGGCGCTGGAGGCTTGAGCACCAAGAGAGCCCTCTTCCCAAAAGATAAGGGATGAAAACTCTGATAGAAGTGAGACATGATTGATGTATCATTGATGTGGAATTGATATAAGTAACCAAGCAAGTGATTTTTCCCATATATTACATAATAGGTACATCCAAGGCACACCACAGCTACTGCTCCGTCCTGGGGAGGGGGTTCCTGCAGCTGAGGTTGAAATCCAGGAAACATGGACAGTAGATCCGTGAGAACGTGGATTTAACGCGCAAACATGTGGGTTGAACCAGCAAAAATTGGGATTTAACTTGATTTAGCCAACCAAAAATCTCGGTGTCATCAGGAAAAACCATGTTTTTAGCCTCAAAATGGGGATACACTTTGAAGTGGTCCGCAGCGCATGGGAAACACATTGGGAATTTTTAGAAAATGGGACTCACCAGCAAAATGCTGGAAATCCTGTGGCGCTGAATGTCGGACAACCCAACAAGGCTTGGCTGATGACAACCAAGAGATCCGGCTGCGGCTGGATACTGTTAGATAGCAGCCCCCAAGAATACTGAACATCGGCACCTCCAATGTAATTGTAGATACCCTCAGATTAGCGTCCCATTTGTGGCCAAAAATGAATCCCATAATTGGCCAAACCAAGGCCAACCAAAAACCAACAAGGTAAGAATCTACCCAGATCTACCCCTTCTTGTACCCAGCGTCTCTCATGAACTTCCTGCCATCAGCTCTTTGAAAGGGCCGCTGCTGGGTGAGTTTCAACACTCCTCAGATTTGGCGCCCGGCTTGGTCCAAAGCAAATGCACACTCGATACACGCAAATATATACTCTATATATATATATATAATTACAACATGTGTATATATATATATATGTGTGTGTGTGTAAAGTATAGTGTGGTTTTTTATGTGTCCAAAACATATTATATATATATATACACAGGCGCATAAGCGTATCATATACAATGAAATATGTGTGCACACACATGTGCGCGCTAAATCTATCTATATAAATCTTAGAGAACTACCCACTTCAAGCCCCATCCACATGACCCTAGCATTCCCTCAGCCGTCAAAGCTGCGAAGATCACTTTGCTCCGAAGGATGGCATTGAAAGGCCACTTCACCCAGGAAGCCGTCGGCTTGCCAGAATTCCAGCAGAAACTCGCACATCGATGGGCCTCCAAAACCAAACTTGCCACAGTTTGGAAACCATATGGAAACCATTTTATGTAAGTGCAAAACTGGTAAGAACAGCTCTACTGATTGAGGATATTTTTGTTTGGTCTAACTGCGTCAATTGACAAGGTCTTAACATGTCTTTCCAACTTTGGTGGGGGCCCCTTACTGCGTCACATGGGATCCGCAAAGGGTAGACAAATCAAGAAGTTGACCTATATTTATACTGATAGTTTGTTTTTTTGGTGCTATCAGGCCCCAATGACCTCATCTGGCCGGTTGTTGAACCACAGGGAAAATGTCAGACACAACCACAACCACAACAACCACAACAACCACAACAACCACAACAACCACAACAACCACAACAACAACAACAACAACAGCAACAACAGCAACAACAGCGCTGACAGCAGCATCCACAACAAAATGAACAATAAGAACAATCAGAACAACCATGCCAGCATCAAATCCCCATCCCCAAGCAGATGAAACACCACTTTGCGTGGCTCTATCAGTGTTGCTGAACAACCCCCGACTCAAGCAGCCAATATTCCTCTCACGATTCTTCATCCACGTTCTTTGTTGGTGGGTATGTAAACCATCAAATTTGGCGTGCGTTTATTTTGCGTATTATCTATTTATCAATTTTGATTGTGTAATATGTTTGTTGGGTTGATCCTTGGATAATCGTCGCTTTCGTGGATAAAACATGATAAAACATCCGTCCTTTTGTTGTTTTTTTCATAGCCATTTTTCCTCCGAGTTTCAGTGCTGTTTCTCTGCCATCTCTGAAAATATTCCTGTCACCGACGCGCTTCTCTTGGCCGGCCGCAGGGGCGGCCCTCGAGAGCCAGTGGAAACAGCAGGGGGCCACCTGAGCACCACGCTGAGGAACCTACGCCTCCTACATATGGATTTTGAATAATTAATCTAATTAATCTTACTCATCCAAAAATCGATTTACCATGATTTAGGATGATCTTGTTCGTTTCCTGGAGGATTTTAGGGCATTTTGTTGGAACATGCTCGGGATGATTTCGATGGCACATACCATCCCCAGCTTGGCCCTTGCAGGTTGCGGGTCCGAAAAGTCCACGTCACTGAAATACGATGTGGACGGGTATGAATGGATATTATAAGCCATTCGCCAAGATTTCTACTGGTTGGGTGGTGTCAACCGGCCTGAAAACAATGCTCCTCCGTGCGGATTATCATCCCAGTGGTGATATTGGCTACACCATGCCACATCCCCATGATCATCCCTAGTTTAGATATAGGTTTAGATCATGTTTAGATGCTTCAACTATCTTAAACTCCCCCATGACTTTGTTGGTGAACCACCCCCACAGCAGATTCCGCCCCCATGCCACATCAAACCCGCCGGGCCGCTGTGGCGCCACTTTGGGCACCGGGAAGGCCTTGGGCTCGCGCCAAATGACACCCGGCTGTGCTGAGGCTGGACGCAGCCGCCGAAAACCCAGCTGGTTGCAGAGGGACATGGCCCAACAGCCGTGCCTCGGGGGATAGGCTTGGGGATGGGGGTAGGGGGTGGGGATGGTGCTGAGATGTGCTGGGGATCATGGTTTATGATGGTTTATTTATATGTCTGAGAAAGATGAATGAATAACCCGGAATCGTGTCGAAATGTCCATCCGCTAGGTCCACTGCTCCAACTACCGTCCGAGCCAAAAAAAACGTATCTCCAGGTGCGACCGGGCAGCAACACAATCTGCCCACGCAAATCGAAGATGAATTCCTCGCGGGAAAGGACTGGACAAGTTCTGGTGGTGGAGCGAAACATTGTGGTCCTTGCAGATCATCTCACTTAGGTGTTCCTTTGATGACCTAGTTCCCAGCCAAAAATGGAAGCATCTTGATAGAATCCAGAAGTCCTGACCCTGCGCAAAACTGAGAGGGAACAAAATCTGAAGCCATCTATAGAAACAAGTCAAGGAATAGGTGCACACCATCCACGCAGACTTCAATTAGCCACTAACTTTGGCTAGTTTGGTGCCAAAAGTCACCAATGGATTTGTCTAAAAAGTTGTAGCAACCCGGAATTGCAACTTTGATTGAGCATGATGATCAACCATTCAATAGATGGCAAGAAAAATCACCATGACTGGGAAAACCACCACTGGCTCTTCCAGTCAAGCATCCAGCATCGTACCATCCAAATCCAAGTTGTGATACTCTCGAGCAAAGCGTACTATGCCAAGAGTCTTGGATTCAATGGCTTGTCCTTGGTACTGCTTGGCCAACTGCACATCACATTCAATACAACTCTAAAGAATGCCAAAGGATCAGTTCACATTTCGATTCTGTCGATCTCTTACCGCAAACACCATATCGGCCACAATCCATATATATATATATATGTATAATATACTGTATACATATATACATATATATTACACAGGGATATATATATATACATATGTGTTTTTATATATATATATATGGCCAAAGTGGAATAATTTGCATCTCGTCATTTATTCGCATGTGTGACGTTTCACCTCGCCTCATTACTTCTATAACTTTTGGGAATTACTGGGCTCGTTCCTTTGCCTATAACAAATCACAGTGGTGCTCTTCTTTTTTTGGCCACACAATATGTGGAAAAAAACATTCACAAGCTCAAAAGATTATTCCCCTCTAGACATGATAAAAGCATTGCAATTATTGCGACCAAGCAACCAGAATAAACTTTTCAGCCTCTGAAACGTTTTTTTTGTCCATCGTCCACTCAAAAAATCAGTAAAAAGCCTCACCTCATGGGGGCGTGAATTAGTTAAATTGCCTCCTTAATTTGCTATGTCTACCTGAGTCTACCTGGTACCTCTTCTGGGCTCGCTGTCAACTTTCGCCCCTCGCCAGCTCAGTGGCGTTTGGCCCAGCGTCTGTACGGCGTTTCCAGCTCTCTCGGCCCGTCGGGACCCGTTTCCTCAATGGTCGTGGCGCTCGGCTCGTAGGTGGGACGAAAGCCTTGGATGCCGATCTGACAATGGGGCAGCCTCCCGAAAAAATGGAGATGTTCATGATGGAAAAATCATGGGAAATCAGTGGAAATCATGGGGTAGGAACATCAACTATGGATGGTGTGAATGGGAAAATCATCTATAAATATGGGAGTTTTTCCATTGCCATGGTTGGTTGCCAGACGGTGTGGCAATTCTAAGAGAGACCATGTTGATTTTCTTCAATGATTTTTTTCAGGGGGATAAGCTATTTTCAAACAATCCCAAATGGATAAAAAAAAATCTTAGATTCCTCGTGAGATTTGCTTGAAGAGGCCCAACAAAAAAATCACCCAAAACTGGGTTCTCTCAAAAGTGGATCCATCAGGAAGTCAGGAAGCGATGGGAAAAGATATCGCTCCTTTCCTCCAACTGCGCATCGCAGGAGTAGAGTGAGAGGATGCGGATGCCTCGAAGGGATTAGTTTCGCAAGACGTGTGGTTTCAATGCAAACCAATATATTTGCTAGGTGAATGGAGTGTGTTTCTTGCAAAGCACGGAGAAACGATGAGAAATGCAAGACATGAATCATCATGAATCCCTGGTTTGTGGTTTCAATCCGTTTCCAAATTATCGGCGAATGAAGCCACCAATAAGATATGTGGAAACTCATCTCCGGAACATCACACCCAATTCACATGTGTAAAGCTTCAAGAAAGAAGCTCGTCGAAGAGTTTCGTCGTCTTCTGCCGCTGCGATAATTCTGATTCAATGTGATCCAATACCCTACCAAACAGCACCTAAATAGGTCCAAATACTGCTTAAATGCCCTATATTCAACCATTGTTTTTAGGGTGTTATGAAACGGCGACGGTTGGGAAACTCCATTGCTCCAACTGCTCCCTCCCAGCCCAACCACTGGAGAGTCATAGTTGACTCACTATTTTGGTTGGTTCAATCCCAATGGTTCTACCAAATGTCCATCAAACTTCTCTTGAACTTCAATTAAATCCTTACCCAATAAAGTAAATCTCATTAAATCCCCATTCCATCAAAAATTAAATCCCTAGAAATCCCATTGAATCCCCATGAAATCCCTCTAAATCACCATAAAAATCACATTTTTTCAGGTGAGAACGGGCATCCATGGGGTGACCCGTAATTTACGGCCGGCACAGCAGCTCGCCAGGCTGCCGTAGCGCGGCTCCACATAGCTCTGCAAGGTCCACAGTCCGGACAAATTTCCTCGGAAAAAACCGGAGATTTCACCAGGCAAGTCACGGTGATGTCATGGATAGTCCCAATGGTGATTTCATGGGGATTAATGTGCATTAATGGTGATTTTATATGATTTTATGGGGATTAATGGTGATTTTATTTGCCTTAATGATCCTTAATGGTGATTTCATAGTGATTTCATGGGTACATCATAATTTGATAGGAATTTCAATGGATATCGCACCGGAAATGAATGTGATTTTGTGGCGATTAATGGCAATTTAACTAACAACACACGGGTCTAACAATAGTTAACAAGTTAACAGTTAACGATGATTTGATGGTGATTTAAGGTTGGTTTGGTGGGGTTGAAGGGTTGTTGGGTTGTTTGCCGGTGATTGAATGGGTATATCATGGGTATATATCCAACCATTTATGTTATCTACCCCTTGGGTGGCATCAAACATGGCTGGCTAGAAAAACCTGAAATCAATGGAGGAATTCTCCATGGTTAGGTGTGTAATTGTGATCAACTTTGTAGGTCCAGTGTCCAGTGTCCAAATCAAGCGTGATTTTTTGACCCAAACCAGCCATGCTGATCGCATCTAAAAACCCAAAACTCTGTGATCTGTGGTTCAAATGCCGAAAAAAAATTGGTACGCGATAGACGTACCTCTCCAACAACCCTGCGCCGAGGCTCCAGATTCTAGGGTGGGTGTTTCTTCCAGTGCTACTCGCTCCAGCAATTCACCGGTCTTCCTCAACTCGAGGTCTTTGGCAACTCGTGACAGATTTTCAGACATCGAACACCGCAAGCACGTTACAATAATGACACTGTTGAACACATTGTTGTTGGTAATTGTTGCCCATTATACACTTATATATGGCATTGTTTTCCCTAGATGTAATTACAATGTGTATACATAAATGTATGTATATGATTGTATATGCGCGCGTGCGCGTATAATATATCCACATTTACTTATTTCTTTACTTATTTATTTATCTACTTATTCATTCGTTCAGTTAGTCATTTATTTATACATACATATGCATATGCATGCATGGCATGAACACTTATAGACGTTTTCCTGTGTGAATCTATGTTGCGCAAATTCTTCACCCTGTTGCTGGGATGATCCGTTTTTTTATGGTGCTGGGTACATGGGATATGGTCGATATATCGACAAACCCTACCCTCTGGTAATTTAACATAGCTATTGAAAATGGCTCAATAACAGTTGATTTACCCATTGAAAATGGTGATTTTCCATAGCTATGTTAGTTTACCAGAGGGTATGTTCAGGCATGTCCAAGTAATTTGTCAAGCAATCACTCCCAGAAAGTAACCATTGATAATGACTCATAGATACTGTACTCATAGCATATAATTTTGGTTAGATCATCCCCGTATATTTTCTATTACCCTATGGTAATCTAAGGTAGCAACCGACAACTTACATCTCTGAAAGGAAAGTGTTTGAACATGACCAAACATTCATGAAACATCATCTGACACATGAATGCATTCCACTACCAGCGTAGATCACAAGACACTATCTGGTTGATTTTTTGTAATTCATCAACCTGGAACAAAATCATTTGTGGAACAAGGTCCTTCTACAGTGACGTCGCCATGAAGTCAGTAATCAAAATCACCCAAACGATGATGGTGATTACCCCACAAAAAAAACCAAGCATATCGCCACTACATTCCAGTATATTCCCATTGTATCCCATTAAATGCTCATTAAATAGCCACTATATAGCCATTCTATCACATTGAGTATGATTTATCTTAATAGATTTATGACTTATTAGGGTTACAAATAAAAGGATGTTATCCTAATATATCCCCATAAAAAAAAAAAAACATATTAAATCTCATAGATGGGTGGTATATATATATGTGTGTGTAAACAAATCCAATAGTCTCCCTAAAGTCTATGTATCATGTGTATACTGTCTATACTCCCATGAATTACACCCCATGAAATCCCATATATTCTCATCATTATGATTTTAAAATTACTTTCGAGTGACCCCCCACCAATTGATATTCTATCTGGCACATATTCTGACATTATATATGGCATTCTAGCTGACATATATTCTGACATTCTATCTGGCATTCTTTCTGGCAAATATATTGTGACATTCCATCTGGCATTCTGTTTGGCATTTTATCTGATATATATTCTGACATTCTATCTGGCATTCTTTCTGGCAAATATATTGTGACATTCCATCTGGCATTCTGTCTGGCATTCTGTTTGGCATTTTACTGATATATATATATATATTCTGACATTCTATTTGGCATTCTATGTGACGTATATTCTGACTTCTATCCAGCATTGTTTGTGGCATTCTATCTGACATCTGATATCCTGAGATGTTAACTGCAGGATCCGAGGCGGAGGTGGAGGATGAGGAGGCATTCTGGGTGGGCAGGATGCAGCTCTGATCAAATCTAGAGACCCTGAATGACCCTGACCTGGCAGGTGGGGAAAAATCAAGTCTGGTTGGTGGTCGACCTACCCCTCTGAAAAATGATGGAGTTCGTCAGTTGGGATGTTATTCCATTCCCAATTAATATGGAAAGTCATTCAAAATTCCATGGTTCCAGTCACCACCAACCAGAAGTGAGCCGAGTGATCCGAGAATCTGCAAAGACAAGACCTGCGCCACCAAACTCTGAGTAGGAATCCCTTCACGCGACTTGCCCAGCGAACTCTCAAAGCGCAGGATCGAGGCCGGAGCCGAGGGACCCAAGGAGGTCGTACCCAACCTGGCAACCAACGGGTGGTACAAAAAATCGATATATTTTATGAAAGTTTAATGGGATTAACATGGAGTTTAACCAAGAAAAATACTTTTAAAATTGGAGCTTGACCAAGAAACATAGGACAACATTGGGGATATTAAAAGGATCTAGATATCATGGGGATGACATGCAGATATCACGGGGATATGTTCTGAGGATATAAGCTTCAATATGGCGATTCAATGGGATATAATATAATGGGGATTAATGTCAACCCAGGATGTTGCTAGCCCAAGGATGAGTTTAATCCAGGGTTTTGAGAGTACTTGGATGAGATTCCCAGCTACGAAGTGGATTACACAAAGTTATGTGTGCATGTGTATATATATATATGCATATGCATACGCATATGTATATATGCATACATGTATATATTGTATAAATATGCAGTATATATATATATACATATGTATATGCACACACACACACACGTACGTATATATACATATATACATGATTATCCCAAAAAATGACCTGGGGGGGGTTGGGCGTCCCCATTTTGTAGAGCCAAATCTGACTTTTGGCGCCCCAGGCCTCTACAGAATGAGGAACCTGCCACAAATCTAGCAAGGGGTTTTCTCTACAAAATCAGGGCACCCAATCCCTTTTTTTGGTGCACTTTTGTGATTTTCAGAACCACTGGCCCCTACAAAGTGGGGAACCTGACGTGAGCACACATTTAAGCAGAATTGCTACTTGGAAGAAAGAAAACCATCAAAAATACAAAGGTCCATTTTGTAGAGGGATGATGTGAAAGAACCTTGGTCTCCCCGTCTCACCTGAAAACCCTGAAATGTACAAAAATATATTTTGTAGAGGAAATTCCTGTTCCACATTTCCAGTTCTTGCAAAATCTATATAATTTGTAAATATTTATGCACATGAATGTTGACAAACCCCAAAACCTCTACAGAATGAGGAACCTACAGTTTCAGCCATCTACAACATGCATCAAAATGCTCCCACTACAAAATCAGGAACCTGTCCTTGCACACCCTTGCAGGCACTTAGGCTGTCCAAAAAAATGGCTTGACGGACCTCTACAGAATGACGAACCTGCCACAAATCTAGCAAGGGGTTTTGTCTACAAAATCAGGGCACCCAATCCCATTTTTTTGGTGCACTTTTATGATTTTCAGAAACACTAAAACCTCTACAGAATGAGGAACCTACAGTTTCAGCCAACTACAAAATTGTCCCTCCAAAATCAGGAACCTGTAATTGCATATCCTTGCAGGCACTTAGGCTGTCCAAAAATATGGTTTTGGCGGACCCCCCGGGGGTCCTGATAATGGAGTGGATTTTTTTGGGGGAGATTATACATGTATGTATAACTTGGATGCACCAAAGTCCTTTAACAGCACTTGGGGATGGTCACCGGCTATCTTGGGTTTAAGGGACCAGTTGTTGTAGACTCTGAAGCCAAGACACTGCTGCAGGAAGGCGGGTATTGAGGGATTAGCCTTCAACGTGATCAAACCATTCACATTGTGATACCTCAGGCCATGATCGATACCCTCTGGTAAACTAATATAGCTATGAAAAAATTGTGATTTATAGTTGCTTTACCATGCTTTACCTAGATAACATGGTGATTTTCCGCAGCAAACTGTTAGTTTACCAGAGGCTATCCATGGTGCCAACTCGGGAAAAGCTCCAGGCCCGATGGTCCGATGGTGGCTGTGATTTGGGCATCGATGGGTGCACCGAAAACGGTGGTAGACATCCCATTACCCTCTGGTAATTTGTTACATAGCTATTGAACATGGCCATTTATAGTGGATTTACCCATTAATAGCATGGTGATTTTCCATAGTTACGTTAGTTTACCAGAGGGTATTTTGTTTGGGTTTCAACCATCGGTGATGCAGGATTTCGCGACCATCCACAGTATCACATGTCATAAACCTCATTGGGGAATATTGGAGATGGTTTGAACTATTGATAGTGTCATCACATACTGGACAAATCTGGATCATGGGTATCATATTATGGTTTTTTATTGGGTATCCCAACACAAGAGATTGCAGTAAATCCAATATCCTACAAGATGTCACACTCATGCGCGCACACACACACATATATATATATATACACGTATATATATATATTGTATAGAATTATAGATATATACATTTTTAGTGAATCTGCTTGCCCATTGTTTGATCATTGTGATGGTGATTCTGGTATCTGCTTTGCTTTGAAGAACTGGCACTTTGGGTGATCAGTGACACACAACTTTCTCCTTCAGGAATCCGGCTACGGGACAGGTGGACTTGTTTCCTTTGACTTCCCGGTATGAGCGACCCACTTAGGGCTTTTATCATTAGGATTGTCAGGAGGGCTTTGATTTGGTTCTTTGTTGACTGTGCTGATTTTGGTGACGTTTTGTTTCGCAATTACAACAAGGTGGACCTCAAGGTGTACAGGCCGGCTGAGGGGATTTTCATTAGGCTGTCATGCCCAACCGTGCGGCGTTGCCAGTCCTTGCTTGGCGAATTCACACGTACTAAGCCTTTTTGCAAATCATGTGATGTGGCCAGGCCCGTATATTCGCATTCAATTGGCGGAAGCGGCACTGTTCGCTGTGCCCTTCATGACCTGGAAGTTGCCCGCGCTATCACATATCAGTATGTAAAATTGGGTCTACCACATCACATATCAGCCCAAAGCCACCAACACGCTGTCGGACCGAGGTGCCAAGCTTCCAATGTGCAGCCGTGAAACAGGGCCACCTCTGGAATGCGCTGCCTCAACACATGGAAGCTGCATCTGACGAAGGTTTTGGAAGATTTGGAAGATCTGGGAGGTTTTGGATTGTTTTGGAAGGTTTTTTGGAAGGTTTGCAAGGTTTTGGAGGATTTTCCTACTGGACATTGGCATTTTTGGGAGTTCCAGCTTGAATCTTCGATTTGATTCAAGAGCCGCTGAACCAACATCCATATCAAACTCTGACCACCCAATGGCTCAGGCACTTTAAAAGTACACCGCTGCCGCTGTCATTGCAGGTGCAGCTCCAAAAACTGAGTTCCATGGCTTATCGGTGCCATCGGAAAAATGCGAAGCTGCTAGAGCCAAGAAAGGGGCATCCAATGAGCATGGGAACGGGGCTGTCCCTCAAGGTGATTCCCCAAGGCCTTTTCCAAAAATAACAGCCGTCAACCCCTAGGGCCCTAGGAGGGACTTGATTAAAAGCCCATGAAAGATGGCCCTTCTGCATCTCTCATCCGAAATGATGATCCTATCGGGCATCTCAATCTCGTTTCCTTGGACGGAGGGAAGTTCACTAATCTCTTGAAACAAATGTGTTTCTTACGCTGTTGCAATAGGTTCATGTTTGAAAATAGGTTCATGTTGCAACGACGAATATGATCTGTCAATAGTTCTTCAACAGAAAATATGCGTCTTTAATTTCCCTTGTTTTTTGTTTCACGACCAATGCTCTCCTCAAATCTATATAAAGATATCCAAAGAAACACTAGAGATCTATAAATTATATATAATTATAATTATATATATATATATAAATACACGTCACATATAGATCAGTAAAGGTTAAAGGCAAGCCTCAGCAAACCCTTTCTTCCTGAGATCGCTGACCCGTTCAGAAGCTGCATGCTGGTCCTAGGCCGATAGTGAGCAAACCTGACGCAAATGATGGTAATAGATTTTATGGTGACGAATAATGGGGGTAAATGGACATTTCATAATATATATAATTAATATATATATATATAGTAATAAAAATATATCGTATAATTAATGATTATATATATATATTGGGCTATATAACTAAGTCGTAACTTAATATACTTAACATATATATATACTTTAATACTTTTCCTGTGTTCACATTGAAAGAAGAGAAACAGCATCAGAAACCATGGTTCAATAGGGGGTGACGCCCATATATTGGACCATACAATTACAATGGGTGTGTTTGATATGGGGGATGGGATTATACCCCTAATTGCCACAGTCCAACTTTTTGTGCACCAGGTTTTGTTCTCCACCAGGTATTTAGGGTTATAAACCGACTTATGACCGGGGGGCAGAACAACATGGAACAATAGGAACAATGAGGTTCAGACCAGTGGGTTAGCTAGTGGGTTGTGTGATGTTTTGTGTTTTTGGACCTTTATCACTCAAATGTACGGGCAACTCTTTGTCATACATGGACGGTATTGGGGATTAAACAAATTCAAGAGATATGCTCCAGCTGCCTTGGCGGTTCAGTGGTATCATCAAGGGGGCACAACTTGGCACAACCATCCCTAGGCAGACATGAGTCATTCGGGATCATCAAAAAACATCATACGAAATCATGTCTTGATGATTTTCAGGGATCATCAGCACATGTTTGGGGGGTGGAACATAAAACATCATTGAAACCATCCACACGGGAATCATTTTCTGTGCGTGACACATCCAAAGCCTTAGAGAGCAACGGTGTCGCTATAGAATGCATAACGTTTTAACGATGATAGCACTTCCCCCCCGGCAAGTCAAAGCATCCAAAAGAAAATCACCGATATCTTCCACCTAAAGAATAATCAAACAAAAATAAATCCCCAGTATTAAATATCAAATGTACCCCTATATGGGGCCCCAAAATAACGGATTCAACGGTTTCGTTTGGGCGGGGACAGGTGGGGACAGGTGGGGACAGGCGGGGACAGGCGGGGCGGTTTTCAATATTAGGGGATGCGGGATTACCTTGCAACTCTACTATCTATCTATCTATCTATCTATCTATCTTTCTATTATCGATAAATATCCCAATTACATCATTCAATCTGCAAATTTTAGGCAGTTTTGCAGCCACTGTTTGATTCTTCAAAAAGTGGCTGAACTGAGGCCTGGACAACGATCAGAACCACACCTCCCGGATGACGTCCTCAGTCAGATCCAAGCTTGAGTGGGTTCACCATGTATGGTCCGAATATGCCGATCTAAGCTTCACGGGTTTAGTCAGTTTAGTCAGAATCTTCAGTCCAGGCTTGACTGGGTGTATATTCACAAATTATTCAAATAGTTATTCATTCTATGATGGAAACCAGTGGTTCTCTGCGAAAATCCTAATTGACCCAGCGTTTGCGTAGGCAACATGCATCAATTTGTCGGGGGTGAAACGGTGAAACATGCATTGGATTCCATCATCACCGACTGTCTGTTGGGCAATCTGCCACTGGTGGTTTCAACCTAAGCCCAAACCATATCCCCGCGGAAATGACAAATGATTGAAACCGCCAGTCCAGATGCGGGAGTTCAAATTTCCACATGCCCTAAATGACAGTAACATAATGTAACATAATGTAACATAATGTAACATATAGAGATATATAGAGATGGAAAACCCACTAGTTGTAGGTTATGTTGCTAGGGAAACCAATGGAATTCATACAGTGTCAACCCCAATCTAATGAATTATGTGACTCTGTTGGTTAATTGGGGGGAGGAACAATGAAAATTCGAGTGATATATTCATTCCAAAATTGTTACTGTACCGCCTCTCTAGCAAACTGCGGGGGAAGTAAAATCCTAGCCTAACATCATAGTAACCACCCAAAGATAGCAACAAATGTTTCACCTCCAGATTCCAGATGACGATAATATAATTTTCAGGTGTCCCATTGTTCTATCTTCTTTTGGGGGGGTACCCTGGGGTAAAGTGACATAGATGTGGTCATGGGATTCTCATGGATGTTCCACATCTATGTTAGTTTACCCTAGAGTACCATACATATTTTGCTAAAATAACATAAACCATTAAACCATGTTAATAGTAATAAACCATCCATCATTTATCTGACATTAATATCTTAGTGTTGAAGGCCTAAAGTACCTAAATGGCATACTTGGATTTGCTTAAGGGGTACCCAAAAAATAAAAAATATGCACTATAGATTCCCCAAATGGTGGATTTCCCATTGGGAAAATAAAAAATCACCTTAAACAAACCCAGGCATATTTCAGCACCCAAACGTTTGAGGATTGGACCCACTGGACCCATCCATGTCGCCATCAAGCCATCACGCCGAGAGGCCATCAAGATCCGAGTCGCAGCGAAGTACAATGAACTTGTCCTCAACCTGGCAGCGACTAGACCTACAATTGGGGTCAAAATGGTAGGTATCTCATGATATATCTATAAATATCTATTGTTAATGGGGTTTATAAACCAATTTCATATTAGGGGGAAACAATTTTTGCGTGATAATTAATGTCCTTAACCTCTGGTAAACTAACATAGCTATGCAAATAACCATTTTTACTATGTAAATCAACTATTAATTGCCATTTTCAATAATTAGCGATGTCAAATTACCAGATGGTATCTATTGTTAATGGGGTTTATACACAAATATTTCATAACTTTTAGGGGCACCACCCTGTACGAAATTAAATTGCTTCATTGTCTCATATGAATTGAATCTGGAGTTGCCAAGCCACCCGAGCCAACAAATATGCCAGCACTAGTGTTGCTTATGTTAGGACATTTCCGCAGCTCACGATGGCAGCACATCCAAAAAGCTGTGCAGATCTGATTGTGGAAAATACTTAGCTATGCATCTCATTAGCTACATATTCCCTTAAAGATACCAAGAGGCACGCAAAGGACCTGGACAAAGCCAAACGGGTCGTAGACACCCCTACATACAGGCACCAAACTTGGTAAACATGCGGGGAAAAAACACCAAACGACATCAAACCGCATTAAACATGTGAACATGATTTGAACACTTCCCAATGTGTCTTATGCCTTCCATGCCCAATCTTAGATGATCTTAAGATTACTTTCCACTCAACGTATGTTATTTTCAGTGTTTCTGTGAGTTTGTCTCAAAATAGGGCACCGAAAATCCATAGTAAAACGCCCCCTCCGGTAATCGAACATGGCAATGGAAAATCCACCATTCATATATACATATATTATATATACAACATACATATATATATAGTATACGTAATTATACGTATATATATATACACATATATATATATATTATACACGTGTATGTATATATATATATGGTTGTCCAATATTTATCCCATTAAAAAAAAACTTTGCAAAGGATTTTCCATTGCCATATTTTGACTGATGGCCAATCCCTGCCTGTGTCAGGTGCGTGGCAGCTCGCAGGTCCATAGCCTTCAAGGCTCCACCGTTGCCAGGCGCCGAAGGCGCCTGTCGGAAGACACATGGGGGTATAAACCCGTGGGGATATTTACCGGCTATAATTGGGATATATGATGTATATATATATATGTGTGTTTCCAACAATATGATTGTGTCGGTGTATCCCAAAATGCGGTATAATCACCACCATTTTTTGGCTATTTCAAGAAGAAACATAATGAGTAACCATCAGCAGATTTAGACAACCCATCGGAAATCTCATCGAAAAACTTGGAGTTGGCTGGTATTATTTATTTTTTTGTTGGTGCTTTAAAACTCCATGCTCGCCCACGTGACACTTGTTTCTTGTTGGCTGGTATCGGAAGATCACACCCTCATCTATGAGCAAGTAGCATACGAGCCAAATCTTGTATTACGATATGTACATCATTGTCCTCATGCATGCCAAACAAAAAGAAATGTTTCGGATTTTGGAATGTCTTGGATATAAATCATTAACTATGTTTAAATGGCGGATGTTCCATTGTCAGTTTGCCCGGGAGGGTGCAGGTAGATGACCGGAGCCTCTGCCTTTCAGGTGCCTGTTGGTTATTCATGTGAGTAGGAGTCTAAGAACTATATGGTATATTGATATAATATAATAGTTGGCATATATAATGGGGCTTAATATGGGTTTAAAGGGGATTAACTATATGACTAAATTGTATTGTGGATCTGAAACTCGTTTGATATCCGTTGCCCAGGCCCTCTCACCCCTCTCACGACTACTGTTAGCTACCAATTCCAATTTCCAGTGGTAATGTTGTTGGCATTTGTATTTAAATAAAACCCAATGGAATAGGTCGGTGATGGATGGTGATTGGTTCCACTCTCATTCATTGGTTCACAAAAAGGAGCTACCGATCTACCTTTTTGTCAAAATTTGAAGG